AGCCTGGCTGTGTTCCTTTTGGAGGCTCCTGGGCAGAATCTGTTTCCTTGCCTTTTTCAGCTTCTAGAGGTGGCTGGCATTCCTTGGGTCCTGGCCCCCTTCCTCCATCGTCAGTCACAGTGCTGCATCTTTCTGACCTTCCTTCCACCATCACATCTCTCTCTGACTACAGCTGGGGAAGGTTTCCCATTTTTAAGGACTCATGTGATTAGAACGTGACCACTCAGAAAATCCAGGCTAATCTCCCCATCTCAAAGTCCTAAACCTTAATCACATCTGCAAAGTCTCTTTTGATATGTAAGACAACGTATTCACAGGTCCCCAAGAAGAGGACATGGGTATCTTGGCGAAGGGAGCATTATCTATAGAACATATTTCATGAAATCTTTGTAGGGAACATGGGAATACAAAAAAGATACCAAACCGATAGATCTGGTTATAAATACAACTGGGAGAAAGTGGATAGACAAGATGAATGGATTCTAACGTATTAATCCCAGGGATTATTGATTGGATCAGACACTTCTGTTACATTACACTTCAAACGCTCTATCAAGACCTCACCCCTTACCTTCTATAGACAGGGGAAGACAAATGATGGCCAAGATATTCTGTGCCCACAGTAAGCAGAAAAGCAGGTGTGACTCTATGAACATCAGACAAAGGAAGCTTCAAGACATAGAGTTTTCTCAGAGGTAAAGAGGGATCTTTCCGCACGATAGAAGTATCAATTCAATCAAGAAGACAGGACAACCCTAAATATGCATGCATATAATAACAGAGCTTCAACTGTGTGAGGCAAAATTGATAAAACCAAGAAAGAAATAGGGAAACCCACAAACATAGGTGTATATTTTAGCATCACTCCTAATTAACAGAACAAGTGGAGAAAAAAAATCAGTATGGAATTTGAGAATATGAATAAAGCCGTCAACCAGTCTGACTTAACTAACATTCACAGAACTCTACACCCAAAAATGCTGCACTCATGGACTTTCAAAATGCATATGAGGGCATTTACCAGGATGGACCATACACTGGGCCATGGAACATGCCTCAAAATATTTCAAAGGACTAAAATAATAGAGAGTATATTCTCTGCCAGTGAAGAAATTAAAATAACTAAGAGCTACTTATAAAAGTTACAAACATTGAGCAATTAGGCACCATATTTACATAAGAAAAAAGTTACATGAGTCATTTAAAGGCATTTCAATGGGATCCGTACTGAACACACAACAGATTAAAAGACATGGGATCCAGCAAAGTAGGGCTTAGAGGGAAATTTATAGCTTTCAATGCTTGGATTAGAAAAGAAGAAAAGATTTAAAATCAATGAGATGTCATTCCACGTCACAAAGGAAGAAAAGAAGCAGAAAATTAATGCAAGGTGAACAGAAGGAAGGGAATCATAAAAATAGCAGAAACAAGAGAAAATTGTGAAACAATGATACACTATCATTGCCAACTCTTACACTGATAGAATCTGTGCTTCCTATTCCTGGAGAGTTTAGCACTGTCAGATCACAGACCTTTGTTTTTGAGAATACACCAGGGAGCATTTCCACTGAACTTGAACCTGTGAGTACGCTTGCGCTCTTCCTGCCAATAGATCGACCAGCACAGACAAATGTGAAACTGGTGGGAGTCATTGCCACTGGCTACCATGAGGAGGTAAGGTTATGGCTACACAATGGAGGAAGCAAGGAACATGTCTAGAAACCAGGGTTTCCTTGAAGCATCTCTTGGTACTTCCATGTCTGACGACAACGGGGAACAGGAAACCACAGGAAACATGGCCCTACGAAGACAAAGCAGACCCCTCAGGGAACACCTGGGCTGCCATTCTAGGAAAGAAATCTGGGTCAGTCAAAGTGCTGCCTGAAAAGTGAGGAGAATCAAAGTTGGGTGCTGGAGGACAGAGATGGTTGAATATCAAATATTACCTTAAGACCACTGGGTTTGGAGCATGTTCCACTAACTATCACGTATTGAGTCTTCTCTGAGTTTTTGGCTGGCTCCTGCCCTGAAGGGGTCCCTCGTATTTTCTCATCTCTGACGCTCACCCACTGCTGCAGAGACCATTTCCAAGGGCGTGTTGATTAGTTTTGCACAGAACTTTGCTTCAGCCCACCCTGCATTCCTCCTTCTCTTGCCCTGGGCTTCTCCAATGTGATGGCTTGGGACTGCGGTGGGAATTCCCTTGGTGCTCAAACATGTATAACCTGAAAGGGGTGTGTGTGGGGGGGTATGTTTGTGGGGCTAGCTTTGAACAATGGGAATAGGAGCCTCCCCACACCCAGAAGGCCCCGTGTGGTGGATTGCCCATAGTGGTGGTCGACTTAACAAAAATACAACTTTTCTTGACTTTGTCATTTTCTGCTCCACTCCACCTGCTCCTGGGATCACCTCCAGGGTGAACTGCCTTCCCAAATGCCTTTGTCTTAGCCTCTGCTTGGGACAAACTCATCCTAGGACAGTGATCTTTATAACAGAATGAGTTTCCTCTGGCCACCCAGGCCTGCATTCATTCTTAACTTTCTTTAGAAACCATTCAATGCCTCTGAGAGTTAGTGTGCTTGGATAAGGCAATACCACTTAGGAGAATTTAGGCTGGTAGATTTCCCTAGTGAAGCCTTTCTGCCTTGCTGACTTCATTACTAATGGTCCCATTTTTGCTCCTAGTTCTTTTTCTTCTGGGAGTTTGAAATAACATGCCCAATTTCTTTGAAATAAACAAGCAAGGCAAAAATGTAGCTAATCTTTTCACATTAGCCCTGCTCAGAAGGTGCCTGGTAAATTTCCAGCATTTAGTAAATAACCAGTGCATGAAAGTATTCCCCCCCCCCCAACCTTACCCTTTAGTTACTGTTATTTATTTTCTTTGCTGTTTTACAATCTTGAAACCTTGTTTTCTTCCCTTTAAATGACAGAAGACTATTTTCTCTGGCACAGCCCCAGAGCCCAGCAACAGTTAAAGTTGCTGTTATGTGAAAGAGTCCTATTTGTTTAGAAGTTACTCAAAAGGCCGTGAGAGCAGGCGACCTGGATTATACGAAGTGGCCCCAGGAAACTCGAGAGTATTTTCTTTCCTGTCTTTTTGCCAGGATGCCGGCTTTTCCTTGGCCAATAGGAATTTGCAACAAGGTCAAGATTCATTCTAGTTGGAATCTCATAGGATATCTGCCACATTTCTTACAAGCGATTGCTTACACTAACAAAGCCAGGGGGAGAAACGCTGAGGGGAAAATGACATATTTAGCTTAGGGTTCTCCACGACAAACAGTTCTTGATAATGTTCTCAGGTCCATTTTGGGAGATCAGACTCTCTAACAAAGAAAAAGCATTAACTAGATAAATATACATCCATCATAATTGAAGGGAGATCCAGACTTAAAACAAAAAAACAAAACAAAACAACAGAATAAACTTCCAAAGAATACAGCAACTGTCCCCAACTGAATCATAAAGAGAAAGGAATTCAGAAGCAGGAAAATGAAAATCAGGAGACTCACGAGTGACTATGAGGACTGACATACAGACATTTTAGACAAAAGGTAGTTTGCCGCATTCAGCAATGAGTGACAGTGTTCTTTTGAAACCACCATGCAAGGCTAGCAATCTAGATTTCTCAAACTGGAAGCCTCACAGCATTCTGTGATACTGACCTTGGCTTGAGGATTGGGGTTCAGAAGAGGTGGGTTGACCTTGCTCCCCTAGTATCGTCTTTACCGTCAAGATCAGGAAATTCCCTGAAGTATCATAAATAATATCTAAGAACATTTCTAAACAGGGAAGTACCTTTTGGTGTTTACCTCCTCTATCTTAATCTCATGAGAATTAAGCAAAAGCACCAAAAAGTCAGAAGTATGTAGACTGGGGTTTTAAATGGTTGTGTTATATTTGAGGAGTCCCCCTTATTGAATTCTACCTCCGGAATTCACTGTTACCTGGTTGTTTCAGTAAAGGCTCCTGCCTTTCAGGTTTTTTTCCCCATGAAACATTTTTCTTCACTTACTTCCGGGACAATAGCGAGATTCTTCCAGATCATGAATCAATCCCAAGGGTCCTGTTCCACATATGACCTTCAAGATTGCTTATTTCACTTTTCCACTCTAGCATTCATGTAATCATATATTTTACTCCATTTGGATGGGCTTCCTATTGATTTTCACTCTTCAGTATTTCTTTCATTCATTTATATCATTTTAATATGCATGATTCCAACACATGAGAAAAGATAGTTATTCGGACTTCTACCTCAACACATCCAAATCGTCCCAAGTCTAATAGAAGGTGACGTCAAAAAGACTGGTTTATTTTGCAGATTCCAGAATTTAAGAGGCAAAAAAAAAAAAAAAAAAAGGTAAAATTTCCCAGCTTCAATTCCTTCATCAGATTGGAGAGGATGAAAAGTGGTAACTGAGTTTCCATTAGTGTCAGTGAGGACATCTTTAGGAAATATATGTTGTAATGTGAGAGGCTCTATACTATCATCTTTCTCTTGTCACCAGCATGATAGAGTAAAACTTAAGTAAAACTTAAAGCAAAAAATAAGGATGAAATCATTTCTTTAAAAAAATACAGTTGGTTAATTAAGTCAAACAGCTGAGTAATGGCAAGTTCGGTTAACTATTTTCCAATGCGTAAACAAAATAGGTGGCTATGTTACAGCACTTTTCATTTTTCAGCTAGAAGGCTAGACACCATATAGAGATGCAAAGCTGGAGCAGAATGAACTGATGATCACTTTTTGGCAATTCGACAGGTTTCATTCATTCCACTGAAATTCACTAAAAGGATGTCAATATTTTCTGTATCTCAAATTATGTTTCTTCTGCCTACAACTTACTTTCTTGGATTACACAGAATATTTCCTTAGTCTTTAATATTATTAAATATATTCCTCTCTTCTCATTTATCCTTCCATTTTATGGCTTTGTCTCTGTTTTACATTTTCAGAGTTTAGAAAAACAACATGGAAAAGCCACAAAGCTTACCATTTCCACCAAGGATAAATATAAGAACATTCCCGCAGTAACTGTTAAGATCCAGTTTTGAACACACGGATCAGTTGATACTGAGAGGCCAACGTATAGTCCTATGAAGGCAGTGAGAGCACTTATAAAATTCATAAGGATGGCAATCTTAATAGGAAGTCCAGAGCTTAAGAGCACGGCAAAATCTCCTGAAATTTAAGGGAAAAAGAAAATATAATCATTGTGTAAATGATGATGACTTTGCTGGAGTAATGTGCTATTAGTTTGCTTCAAATTTCAGTGACTGGGACCAATTTTACAAGTAAAGTTGACTGACCCGTTGATAAAACATTTTCTTATATCTCTCTAGGATTCTCATTATACCATTAGGAAGTTACATTTCAAGAGCTGTCTTCCTTTTACTAGTCCTGAATCTAGCATATGCGGGGAGAACTGTGACATATTCTTCAGGTCCTGACACCCTGTGACATTTTCAACCTAGATAAATGCAGAATAAAGCACTTGCTGTTCTAGGGTTTTTAAACGTTTTTGCCTGGAAACTTGCCAGGCGAAATCACATTACGTTGGCTTTTATCCTTTATTTCTGAGAGAACTCCTGTGGGGAAACAGAGAACTACTTAATATGAGATTTAAAAATCATTGCAAAAGTTGGTTAGGAAAAAAATTTTTCCTTTAGAAAACGTTTTACTGCCTTGATGATTATAGAAAAATGACCGTATTCTCCCCACACCTTTCCTCCTAAAGAAGAATGACCTTGTGCTCTGAGAGTCTCTTTTTGGGACATAGGGAAGGGCTGAAATTCAATAAAGAGACAGTCTGGCAACTCAGTTTCTTAGTTCTGTGGCATAACTGGTCCTAGGAATAGGTCTTTTTTTTTAAAATATTTTATTTATTTATTTGAGAGAGACAGAGATAGTGAGAGAGAGCTCGAGCAGGAAGGAGGGGGAGAAGCAGACACCCCACGGAGCAGGGAGCCCGATGCGGGTCTCGATCCCAGGACCCTGGGATCATGACGCGAGCCAGAGGCAGACGCTTAACAATCTGAGCCATCCAGGCACCCCCTACGAATAGGTCTTAAAACATCTTTGCTGGTTTGCCACAGACTGTCACACTCCTCTGTGGTTTTAGTATAATAGCTAAAGGCAAGGCCACAGTATATGGCACCCAGACCAGGTACATTTTAATGGATTCAGGAAGGTCCTTGGATAAACTGCTCAAAGAAGGATGGGTGATGGGTTGGGTGACAGGATTTCCAGCAGGAGACACTGAACACCAGAGGCTGGGGTGGCCCAAAGGGACAATGTAGACCTGGCTGTGGGGGGCAATGAGATTATCCAGAGCTCCCTCTGTAGGGCACGCGTGTGCCTGGAGCCAGTCCTTGCTGTTTCTGGGCCTCTTTTGGAAATGTCTATTTTGTCTTCTCTTGTTTCCTGGGAGGCAGAATTTGAATTACAGGGCTATTAAGATTATCCAGAAAAAATGGATGCGCATCTGCTACCAGACGCCTGTCGTTTCAATTTTATGCTTGGCCTTAGACATTTTATATAAATCAAGTTGACGAAACCATGGTTTGGCTTTAATTTAAATGTTATTTTATCTCATTGGCCTGTTTGCTGACCTAATGGGGAAAGTTCCTCTCTTAATGTTTTTCCCACATTTAATATGCAGATTTTAAAGTCTTTGCCAAAGTTCTTTAAAACGAGGTTTCTCTAAATGACTTTCTTCCATAAAGAACTCTCTAGAGTCCAAAACGAGTGACTTCTGGCCCTGGGGAAACATCAGAAAGAGTCTAAGTGAATTTTATCCCAAGGTACAGAATTTGTTTTTCTAGTTATCTTCTTCTTGCCGTTTAAATAGATTATGAATGGAAAGTATTCACCTTTCAATTGTGTGTCGGAAAAAGGCGCCTACAGACCATAGCTAGAAATACACTCTGGCTTTCTCAACAAGCGGGAGACAGCCACACTGCTCTGTGACTTACCCATTTCATGTGGAATTTCGTGACACAAGATTGCAAGTGTGGTGGTCGCTCCTGACTCAGATGAAGATGAGAAGGCCGCTCCTATCACAAGGCCGTCTGCAAAATTATGCAGGCTGTCTCCAGCCAGTATCATTATTGCTAACAAGCTAATGGTTTTGCCTAAAGAACCAAAGAAAGGTGTGAGAAGCATTAACAGGGCACCAGACATTTCATGGAACCCTTCACACACAACCAACTTCCCCATCCACCCTTGACATTCTTAAATCGCATCAAACTAAGCAACCCGCTTTGTTTCAGCTTTTCAAATAAGTCAGGACTGGAGACCCAAATATGGTAATTGACACATTTGGCTGCAGGTCATTGTTTTCGCAATGGATCTGACTGGTAACGAGATGAATTACGCATGGCATTCACTATTCTGTCACCTTGTTCAGCTATCCCAAAAGAAAAAAAATAAACATGATATTGTTATAACCTTCCAAAATACCACCAGTGACCTCTGCGTGTGCATCTTTTGTAAAGCACTTTAAAATAATTGAAGACTGTCCCCATAGGATTTCATTAAAATGAAGCTATTTTCCAAAACTGTTTCCTCTGGGTCAGACTGTCCCTGGCATTAGTCGGCTGGGGTGCACTTCGCCATTTTCTGCTCATTGAGTTTCCCTTTCTGGTTGGCACTCATGGTCCTCCCCAAATATCTTGTTCACTCCCCACCTGTGACCAGCAAGAACCACGGTCAACTCCACCGGCCCCCAAATTAGCTTTGGTACAATTAGTTAGTGTCCTTGTCTTTCCGAAAAATAACCTTCAGTGTTAGGCCAGTGGGACATTGAACAAAACAAAGAGGAGTTGTTTTCATGGGATTCCATTACATAATATACATTATCTGATTAGTGGAGACTCACTGAAATGATTAGTATCATGTTTTCAATCATAATTGGGTCCAAGGTTTTAATGGACAGAATTTCTGTTTTCGAAAACCTAAAACTGTAATATTAGCATAACCCGCTCATGGAATTGGACAACTAATACATTCAAAAAGTACTCCTGGGATAACACTTAATAAGACAGTAAACCACCTAGGGATGCCATTTGATAGGAATAGCTATTCAAATCAATTTCCATTGTATAAGACTTCATCAATTACTCAGCCGTTATGCACTGTGTGCCTGGTGTAAGTAGTTGTTGCTGTTAGAACTGAACCCAATATTCTAATAATTACACACTCAGTAAAAATAGAAAAAGGTTACCTCCTGGTTTCTGTTATGTGGTCCAATATTACAGGGGCACTGTACTATAATACGGTTTTCTATTTTGTCTGGGGAATACAGTTTGACTCATTTCACATCTGACACCACAAAATACAGAGAAAGACATGTATCATATGACCTCACTGCTATGAGGAATTCTTAATCTCAGGAAACAAACTGAGGGTTGCTGGAGTGGTGGGGGGTGGGAGGGATGGGGTGGCTGGGTGATAGACATCGGGGAGGGTATGTGCTATGGTGAGCGCTGTGAATTGTGCGAGACTGTTGAATCACAGACCTGTACCTCTGAAGCAAATAATACATTATATGTTAAAAAAAAATAATACATTATATGTTAAAAAAAAAAGAAGAAGATAGCAGGAGGGGAAGAATGAAGGGGGGGAAATCGGAGGGGGAGACGAACCATGAGAGACTATGAACTCTGAAAAACAAACTGAGGGTTCTGGAGGGGAGGGGGGTGGGGGGATGGCTTAGCCTGGTGATGGGTATTAACGAGGGCACGTACTGCATGGAGCACTGGGTGTTACATGCAAACAATGAATCATGGAACACTATATCAAAAACTAATGATGTATGTATGTATGTATGGTGATTAACATAACATAATAAAAAATCACTACATCATACACCTGAAACTAATATCATACTGTATGTTAACCGGAATTAAATTCAAAATTTAAAAAAGGAAAAAAAAAGAATTACTTATTAAAAAAAATAATAAGTAACTTCAGTCAAGTAAATGGCAGATAGAGCCCCAACTATCAGCCACGAGACTGACTACAGTGCAAACATGTCCCATGCATTTCACTTCTAAAATTCATGGTTTATTTAGACCTATCACTATAAGACTTTTTAGTTAGTCTTTTTTTTAGTTAGTCTAGGTTTACTAATTCATTTTATTCTTTATTAAAAGTGAGAAAATTTCAGGCAATGGTCATATAAACACAGAATAAATATCAAATGATCGAATTCAGGGAGTTCTTATTGGCATGGCCTGGAACCTCTCAGAATCTAATAATCCTACCAGGTCGCTTTGCCATTCCTGCCAATTTTCAGAAAGAAAGCTCTTCTTTGTGGAAATAAAACAATTTAAAGCAATACATTTGGCAACATTGCAGCATGCAAATATATTGTGATTTCCATGCACTTTAGTGTAGTTTTGATACAGGTAGCATATATTCAAATGGAAAGTTTTATTCAATTCATACTCTGCTAAGAAACAGTGTGACCTATTTTCGTTGTCTATTATTTTATTACCTCTGATTATGGGTTTCTAAATGTCAGATCAGGGACATTAACAAGCCACAGGCAAATATACATATTTGTAATGTAAACCTCATAAGCACACTGTATATAATGTTTAAGATAATGTACACATTATTCAGTGGAAGATAAGACCAGCATTCATTGGTAATCTAATGTACTTAGAATTATCAATAATATTTTATCTTTGCTTATATCCCTGGCAGTCATATTCATTTCCACATTTCTAACTTATCTGAGGTTTTCCATGGTGAAACAGGGGCTGGACCTTGTCTCATGTTGCTTTTTGTTTATTTAAATCAGACTGTGGGTAGGATGTTCACATCCTGTCTTTTGAAATACAAGCTGAGTTCCACCAATGAGGTAATGTGAAACAAGTAATCAAATATTTGAAGCTAATTCAATATGTCCCTGACAAAAGGGCAGTTGAGTAATCAAATTTGGATTTGTTCACTGTGCATTCTGTATGCCAAGCTTGATATCTGAAGTAGAAAGATTTGAGACCTCCAAAATCCTTGAATAAGACCATCCTTTCTCCCTGATCTAGCATCGACCACCGCACTCCTAATTTGACGGGGCGTACCCTTCTCCCTTCTTCCCTTCTTGCAAAAACAATAGTGAAGAAATGACCACTGCAGACCTACTAGGTGCCAGGCATTCTAGAATCTCTTTGTGAACTAAAGATTTAGAAGGAAAAATATTACTAGCCGTGTCCTGAGAGCAGAATTAGACAGACTACATAATCACATATTTTGAATCAAATAAATAAGTTACCGAGGTTAGTATATATAACACATTTTGTTACAATGATGTTTGATCCTTTAGTATCTATATCCCCAACCACATTGCAAACTAGGGATAAACTAGGGATAAATGTATTCTCTGATCTTTCTATTTTATTCTCTGGTGCATGCATCAGTGCCTGAAACACAGCACATCTTCAAAAATTTCTTGAATGAATGAAAGAATGTGAGAGAAGACATGGATGCATGAATGAATGAATGACTAACACGAAATTGTTGGTCCATTAGCATTCGTTAGTTCTGCTGGAGCTTACTAGCTATGTAATCCTAGGCAGTAACTTACCCTCTCTAACAACTGGTTTCTACGCTTGTTTAACTGGGATAATAATTGTTCTTACTTTGTTCAGTCATAGGAGTATTAAATAAGATAATCCATGATGTGTTGAACACTATGCCTGGCATATAATGTTAGCTATTTTTATTACGAGGTAACTAATCTATTATGGTAGAATGGGCGTAACTAATCATGACTGTTTAACATTAAAACACTGAGAAGTTTGTGTCACAAAAGGGTACTATCAGTAAGAAATACTGGGCAGAGATTTGGAAGCAACGGATGAAAACTGAAAGAGACCAAAAGAATTCAGAAAATTATTCAAAAACATAAGCCAAAAGGAATAAAGTCATATACAAAATTGGTACATTAAATTCAGAAATAGGGAAAAATCACAGAAAGAAAAAGGTTGGTTGAAATTTATACGAACAAGTGAGTTGTAGAATAAAATATGAATGATGAGTTATCTCTGATTTGACCTCCACTGTCCCAGGGACAACATCACACATGAGACAGATGTTTGTGCTAAATTTCAGGAGACTGTGACAGAAGTCTCCAGACTTCATAGAGAAAGAAGTAAAAGGCTCAGTCATCATGTAAGCATGAATTTTTTTTTAATTGGTATTTAGTTGACACACATCACATTAGTTTTAGGTGCACAACATAGTGATTCCGCAAGTCTACACTGTATGCTGCGCTCACGATTTTACAGAAGCCTTGACAACTGCATATGGATTTACACTGACTGCAGTTCTCAGAGGATCCGTTTTAAACAGTTTAGGAAAACATCATTTTTAAAGAATGGAGTACAACTGATGTTAATGCGCAGTGTGTGTGGAAGACCAATAGGAATGAGTATTAAACATTTTCTCATGAAGCCTGTAATAATAAGATACAAACCCAGGAAGAAATCTATATGATTTCCACACATTGTTTTCAAACAGACATAATCCTTGTTCTGTGGTACTTTCTATATTTAAAGTATAGCTCTTGAAAATTGGTACTCACATTTTCTGTCGGAGGCTGTCATACTGCCTACAGGAATTTCAGCTGCCTGTGAATCTTCTGGGCCTTTCTATTTTAGATAAAAAAAAAAAAAAACTGATGAAAGATTAGCAATGCTCATCATTGTGGTGTAAAAATGAAACTTCTGGAGAGTTATGTTGATTTTTAAACATTTGAATACTCTAGGGTACATCAGAACTTTGAAATTTCATAGGCAAGCATAGAAGGTGAAGCCGAAGGGCTAGGGGGCAAACTTTTGGCCCTGTGTACCTTTAGACGAAAATAGCTCTCTTACGTAGATCAGAACCTTCCACACAGAGCTAGAGGCTACCGAGACAGTCTGTAATTCAGGCTCTTAAATTATATAAGCCTTTATGAAACCCAAAAGCTGTAGAAAAAACGATTCTTGATTCTTGACCTAATTTGACACTTCTGCATGGTGGACTGTGGGTCTAGGATTCATTCTCTGATCCTAAAGGACATCGTGTATTGTGCATAGAGAACAAACTTATGCAATGCCTCCCATTATTCCTGAGAATATAATATTCTGCTTTGCCCACGAGTAGAAGAATCTCACTGAGGAAGAAAGTACATCAACAGACTTACAAAAGATAAATATACAGTTTAAGCTTTTTTTTTTAAATACTTTTCATAGGACAGAGAAGTAGGATTTTGCAGTTGACTTCTGTGAGTTAAGATTATGTGATTTTATTTCAGAGACTGACTCACGGATCAATTTCGGGAAAGTCACTTCCCTTCGCCGGGCCTCGGATTCTCATTCCATGATGTGAAAGAATACTTTTCATAAGTAGCCCCTGCTTTTCTTAAGCTCATGTCACACCCCGTTTGCTTTTACGAAAAACCTACACTAAGACCCGTTTTCATGAACTGAAAGAAATCCGAAGAGGATCTTTGCTTTTACGAAAAAAAGCCAAAAGCACCAACAGCCTTCAGCGTCCGTTTTGTAGCAAGGCTAAAGCGGCAGCGCGCACCCCTGCCTTGAGTGGCGCCACCAAGCGCTTTCCCCGGGAACTGCACTCAGCATCTCAGCATCAAGCCACCAGAGCTTCGACCTGTATCTGTGAGCATCTGTGCTTTATCTCGATTTATTGTGTGCACCTGTTAGCAAAATGTGTCCTAAGGTATCAAACGGTCCTAAGAGAGGTCATGTTTTGTGTCTGGGAATGCTCACACATTTTTCCATGTAAATTGTTGGTAACTGCTTCTTCACTTTATACCATTTTGCTTACAAAAGGTTTCATAAGAATGCTCTACTTTCAGATAGTGAGGGAAACCTGTATCTGCCTATTGAACATGTCCTTTTAAAGGCACATTCACAAGGGTGCCCGGCTGGCTCAGTTGGAAGAGTGTGCGACTCTTGATCTTGGGGTCGTGAATTCAAGCCCCACATTGAGTGTAGAGATCACTTAAATAAATAAACTTCCAAAAAAACTTTGAGACAAATTTAATGTGAGGCATAAGCATCTTTTTAAAAAATGTGAAATACAGAAAGTAAACTTGTATCTCACATATTTGAACAGTAGCATCTACTCAAAAGATGCAATAATGGGCTATTTTTGGATAAGTGGCTGAGAATTAAGGTAGGTCCCGAAGGATACAGGGTAAGAGTGAACAAGAAAACAATGTGATTCTTTTTTGTTACATTACATCGAAAGCCTGATTAAAATCAAAAGGTTCTAAAGTTCTATTAAAAGACAGAAGTTCAAATAATCTAGAATTTTTTTTCCCCAAAAAACTATATACTGCATAAAGGAATTTAGAGGCAAGCCTTCAGGACTCCTTGATTGCTGAGAATTATGAGGTCCGCTCCTTCCTGAAAAACCAGGAAATTGAACCAAACAATCTTAAAAGTTCATATTATTTTTATTCACTTTAAGGGTGATCCTGCAGCTAAAATAACAAAAGGAATAGTGAGTATATTCTTAGTAAGCTAGCATATTCAAAGAGTTCAAAACTCACTAAGTTAGCATCAAAGATTTGCTTAAATGCATCTTGGGATTCTGAAACCCTTCACTGAAACAGAAGGAATAAAGTAAAATCAGCCTGAAAGTGATTTTAAAACTAATCTCAGCCTGAAATTATCTTCTTCCAAGCCACATGTGAAGTAACTAAGCAATAAACATAATAAGGCTTTTAAAATGACTTGTTTTTGTTCATATTTGAGTTAGCCCTAGATCCGCAATCTCCCAGCAGACTTCTCTTTGCTATGGCAATGTCTCAGGCTCAGCTTACTTATCTCTAGGTTAGGAATCTATCCTTGAACTGTAAACACCTCCCCCAAGGCCATGGTTAGAGGAGGCAATTTTTCTATTATTTGTTACTTTCATATTTTTTCCTGTCCCTTTACTTGTTACTTTGAGAATTAGAGCGGGGACATAGTTTTAAACCTGATTGGAGGTGTATTTTGCAACTTCAGATGGAATGTTTGTCCTGGAAACCTCAATGTAACAGAAACCACTTACTAAAAGACACCTTGTGGGACAGAATCCATTCTTTCCTGCAGTATAAAATGATCACCCCACTCCTAGATGCATGAATTCCTTGCTCAACATTTATTTGGCCCCATCTAGCCATGGCTAAGGATTATTCAGGATGAAAAACCTAAAGGTCAAATGGTTTATGAAAACTTGTTAACAAAATGATTGAGATATACATTATGTCGAGCTGATCGTATATGTTTCAAAGTGGTATAGATAGCAAGGATTTGAATTTGTGGAAAGGCTTTTTGCTCTTTAAAACAGCTTTTGGGTGCTTGGCAAAGTTCTCCAAACTACTTATCGTGGTTAAGAAAGGCAAATCAGGAGTGGCTTTATCTATCCTACTGATTTTCATCTATTCATCAAAGAATAAAGGAAAGAAGGTAATCAAATCAGTAAAATACCTCAGATCAGTAACCTACCAACTGGATAGTTGAAGCAGATTTGCCTCTGCCTGACTGGTCACTTAATTCAGAGTTGAGTGCAAGATGGTGGGAATGGCCCACATGCCCATTAATCAAGGACACACCCTGCTGGATGAGGATGTTTTAAAATTAGTGCCGAAGCCAGAAAAACACAGGTGTAGCCTCTGTCAATTCCATGGTTCCATTTAACACTTTCCTTATTGTCCAAAGTGGTGGGTGGCACAGAAAAAAACATGGGGTGGGGCGGGGTGCGCCTGGCTGGCTCAGGCGGTTAAGCGTCTGCCTTCAGTTCGGGTCATGATCCCAGGGTCCTGGGTTCTAGCCCCGCATCGGGCTCCCTGCTCAGCGGGAAGCCTGCCTCTCCCTCTCCCTCTGCCTGCCACTCCCCTGGCATGTGCTCTCTCTCTAATAAATAAATAAAATCCTTAAAAAAAAAAAGCCCTGAGAGAATTTCATCGTGATAAACACTTGCTAAAATGTCTCACCTTGGAGAAGCACAGGACTGCTCTGAAACATCGTTCATATTCCAAGTGCCTTAAGAATGAAACTTTAAATGTCTAGTTATGATTTTAAAAGATTTGAACAGTGGTAGTTTTTATACTGTCTTTTTACTGAAAAATTATATTTATTACAAAATTAAATTGCATTCTTTCTGATGGGGATGCCAAAGGGATGATAACTGAAACTATATTACACCCTGTAACTATGAAATTAATATCTCCAGAAGTGTATTCATCCACTAAAGCACTTGTACCTTCTAAAACATTTGCCTTCCTTTTATTTTACTCAATATGATGAGTCTTGAAATTCTGTTCTTAAAGCTCGTTTTAAGTTCCCTGACAAGTCCAAGGACAATCTGAATAAGCTCTGCACATTTTTGGATGGCCAGAATTTATTTCACTCATCTCTATCCTGGTTAAATTTCTAATTACTACACACAGGTTGATATGTTGACTTTGTCGTTTAATTTTCCCAGGCCGAGAACGCTAATCTGTTGTGGACAAAGAGGATCTATTATTGTCTTTTGTGTTTATTGAGATGAGAACCCCTTCTGTGGAGGTGAAGTTGTTGAATGTGCAAGGGTAGGGGCTGTGATCAAGGCAAGCATTCCTAATTTCTTTTTTTTTTTTAAGATTTTATTTATTTTAGAGAGAGAGAATGAGAGATAGAGAGCACGAGAGGGAAGAGGGTCAGAGGGAGACGCAGACTCCCCGCCAAGCAGGGAGCCCGATGTGGGACTCGATCCCGGAACTCCGGGATCATGACCTGAGCCGAAGGCAGTCGCCAACCAACTGAGCCACCCAGGCACCTGCATTCCTAATTTCTGAATTATTATAGTATTCTGGCTTTGTCTCCAGGACAAAGAAAAACCCTTGTTCATTAAAAAAAGAAAATTTCGACAGCATTTTTTTACCATGAAAAGTTTCAAATAGACAGAAACGCTGAAAGAACTGTAATGTTACCACTCAGATCCTCACTCCCAAGATCCTACCATTAACATCTGACTACTGCCGTTTTATCACCTCTCCATCCGTCATCCCTCTGTCCATCCATAAAACCATCTTATTTTTTGATGTGCAGAATTGGAATCTCGGATAAATTTGGGAATAATAATAGACAAGTGCTGGATATTTTAAAGGACTGCAAAAGTTTTCCCTGAGCACAGACATTATAAATTATGTGAACAAGGAGAAAGCCAGAAAATAAGTGGAAAACTACGGAGGACTAGAGAGCCCCAGGACTTTGTGAGGAGAATTTGCTTTATTTTGGTCTCCTAGAGCTGTTTGCAAGCATTTACCTTTTTAACCATCCCACCAGTTAATCTATTGTCTGATAGGATAATGTGAAAGAGCAAAACAAATCCATTAAAAAAAACCATACTGCATTTTACGTTTCATCACAGACGTAGAAATTGATCAAATACAGGCACAATGGATACAATTATTCAGCTGAAAAAAAAAAGAGATCTGCCACAAATCCCATTTCTGAGCTCCTTGTTTTTATAATTTTAAATGTTCTTAGGATAGAAAATGATGGGTAATTTTGTGAATTTTCAAAGTTTTTGTCTGCATGTTTATTTGTTTTTGGTTAGGAAACACATCCAAAATGCTGATTAGTAGTTAGGCCTTTGGGCCCCTTCATTCCCAGACATGAAATAGTCTCCTGTTTCTAAACTAGCCAAAAAGGTCAAATAGCGGGTTTTAACAAATACCTTAACAGGCCAGCAACAGTATGATCTGTATATTCTGGAAATCAGAGCCCCATCCCTTACCTACAGAATTTTATGAAGATGTCAATTACTTTTCAACAAGGACTTTTGAAATAAAAGATGAATACTGTGAAGCTTTAAAGCAAAAGATAAATAAAATTTAAAATATACCTCAGTATTTGGTGATACCAGAAGAATAAAGCATTTTTCTATCAAGAAAAATCCATGGATGCCTCCAATTAATCCTAACAGTTTCCAAATATGGCCTTTGCTTTCATGGAAATGTCCAAACTCTGAGCCTTCCTGCTTATGTAAACCAAGGACCTTTATAAAAAAAAAGGGGGTGAGGGGGAGAGACACAAAGAAATAGCTTTTGATGACTTAAATATTGATTAATAGGTCCAGTATTGAATATATTCACATTTCCTTCTGGGGAACCCCATAACAACTGCTAGAATCATTCAAAGCCCAGTTTGCTCTTAGTTGTGTGACTGCCTCCACTATATGATTTGATCAGGGTCAAACAAAATGTGTACAAGAGAAAAGAAAGGAGAACCAAATTCTCCTATGTTCTCAGTCCTTTTGTTTCCCCCAAGAGTTCAATCCCTATCTGTTTGCACAGCAAGTCTTCAAAACAGATCAATGTATTTTGTATCCAGAAGAAAGATAAAGATACATTTCATCCAAGGTTCATTCCCCCCATGCCTCACTGCAATTGCAGAAAACTTTTAATAAATGTTCAGATAAGTGAGAAATCTGCCTGAAAGCCTTCTTCCATGGAGTGCGTACTATATACCCAGTAACACTGTCAGCTGTCTGGGAAGCAAAAGGATACAAGAAATGTAGGAGGAATTTTCCTCTAGTTGACTCATCCCATTGGTTGACCTCAGGATTTCTTGTGAGCTAGTAAATCAGTATGTATCATATTCCCTCCCCAGGAGAAGGCAGTTTGGGAAACAGCTCAGTGGTTTCATTTAGGATGTTACTGACCGCCAAAGTAAAAAAAGGAAAAAGAAATTCTATGCATACATACTGTACATGTATGTGTTCAAACATACATGCATATATGTAGGTACGGACACACATAGGCACATGAGTACATGTATGAGCGTACATATGCATCGAGTATATACATTGAGTTTATGAACGTAACTAAAAACCAATACATGTTAGTCAACTTTTCCTTTTGGTAAAGACATTAAAGGATACCCATCTAATATTTATAATTACTATTATTTCACAAAATAATGGGCATGTCAAGGATACAAAACAAAACAGAAGAAAACCCTACAATCTCAGAATAAAATGTAGACCTTTCAGTTGAATACATGTTGCTAGTTGAGAAAAGGAAATCATGACAGTCTTGTTTTTCCTGTTTCTGTGTAGCCCTTTGACCACCAGCCACAGATCACAGTCAGGAGCCACTGATTTTTCTAGCTTTCCAAACACTTGTACTGCACCTTTCTTCCTTTCCCCACAACTCTTCCTTCCAGGAAAACAGTTGCCTTCCAATTTTCAGGAAACCTAGCTAATCTTTTAAGCTCCTCTCTGAACATGTCTCTGTAGAGCCAGCGGATGGCCTCCCCCTCCCGTCCCCCCAAGTCCACGCCTCCTGCGCAGAACTGCATGCCCCCGTTGAGGGGAGGCACAGGAAGCTTTTGCTGTTTTGCAGAATCTCAGGCAGTGAGCAACTCTGCAACCACTAAAGAGACCTAGGAAAAGGCCTCAGGCCCTGCCTCAAGCCAATAAGCCCTGAAATATTTCCAGCAAATTAGATTACAAGGGAAATTAAAACAAATAATGGTTTGTTTCATTTTCCAATGCTCACTTTGTGATTTTCAGAACATCTAATAATTATTGAGCCTTTGAGCAACAAGAGTGACCCTGTAGGAAATTGCCAGAGGCTTGTGGAAATTTTTAACATCTCCGGCTTTGCAAGAGGGGGGCTCATTTGCCCATCATTCTCCATCCTGAGAGATTTCAGAGGGAAGAAATAACCTCCTCTGGAGCCCCTTCTGCCTGAACACTTGCATCTCAGGTCTTTGTCCTTTCACTTCTGACAAATAAAGAGCCTCAGAGGAATTCAGCAAAGAGCCAGCTTCCTGGTGCTTACATTTTTCTTATGGAAAATCTAGATGTTATGAGGCAAAAAAAGGAGTACATTTTGATGGTTCCAATGAAGAGAGCTTCTTGATGGTGTGATGACAGAGGTGCGGGCAGCAAGAGGAGGAGCAAGGGCTAATGAGATGCCCAGAAGCTAGCAACTCCAGGAAACCATTCTCACTCTTAGGGCCGAAAGGGCAAAGGTTGGAAGTAATATTTCTGCAGCTCAGTGGGAGGTGGAGTCGGGGAGGAGTCCTCCCACGGGAGCTGTAGTGCTGTAGGTAATCAGCGACTTCTAGAACAAGTGTAGAGCCAGGAGGGCATGGGGAAGAAACACGCCTGCCCCTCTCTCCTCCCACCCTGGCTCTTCTGTTGTGCCTCCCATTGGCAAACAACAATTCAGCCCGTGACCAAGCTGAGGAGGTGCAATCTTCTGGGGCAGGAAAAAAAAAAAATAGAGCAGAGGACAGAGAAAGGGTCTGAGGAGCGTTGGGGACCAACTGGAGAAAACGCAGCACAACATCTTACAGCCCATTCATTTTTATTTAACAGATAATTAGTGGCTACTTCCTGAATTTCTCTTAATAGGAATCTGCATCTGTTTACCTTTTTTGGTTTATTTAAAAAATAAGAATAACATGTGAACCTAAGGACTGGTTCTCTCTTTTCCCCTTTAAGTGCTTTGGGGAAATGATACTTATTTCCAAGGACACTGGCCGAGTCACTGTGACATTGTGTATCGACATGGCCAGTGACTCGATGGAAATGGAAACTAGAAACGCTCCATGGAAAACAGAACAGTGTTACCTGAGGGATAAGGTGGAGCAGAGCATCACCAGAAAGTGTCCCGACGGCCAGCCCCACAAAGAGCTGTAAAATCAGCTTGTAGGTCTCCTCACAGCTGTGGAACAGAATCAGCGTCGTCCCGAGCATGGAGCCCAGTGTGAGCAAGGCCACGGCCGCCGTGCTGTAGCCATATTCTAAGCCAAACGGAGAGTGCGAAGCAGTCAGAGCTCCTCATCTGCTAGTGGTACCCCAGCCAGAGAAAATGCCAGAAAAACCCATCTTACAATACATCTGATGGGGATATGGTATTGTTCTATGAGTGGTCGAGTGTGTAAAAGGTCTTCATTTTTAAGGAAAAGAATGAAAAGACTTTCACCATTAACCTTGTTGCTTTGAAGTGATCCCAACTACCCCTTACGGAAATCACCACGGCAAGCAAGGACATAGCTTACCTCCCACCGCCAAAGAAATGAACTTCGCTCACGTTAAACCACAACATCGGCTGCCATATACCGGTAATGATTTCCTTCTAATCCCATTTAAACCTTCTGAAGTCAAGGAAGCAGAGTATAGAGGGGGCACATGGTGTGGGGCCATCAAAGACCTATGCTTCTGTAGAAGGTGAGTACTTTCTTTCAAAAATTCTCAAAATTATTCGTAACTCATCAGTGCCTAAGATGAGTGCTTGTAGTAGTAAGAACTGATCAATGAATGTGTAACAGTTGATAATATGAATTTGGACAGCCCACGTTTTAAATTATCACAATCATTTTTTAGAACGCCTAAATTTATCCCATGTTTCTAGGTTTCTAAATTTTCAAAAAATATTCAGGAAGTGCAATTTTTAAGATTATTCAAACAAAAGCAAATATGTATGAGGGAAGAAGAAGCAAAGAAGGAAAGAGAAAAGATGAAAAAAGAGGGGAAAAAATGGCTTTCAGGGTCAAGTAAAGTTGACCCTTGAACAATGTTAAGCTAGAGGAAAGAAAATGTCATTAAGAAAATCGTAAGAGGGGTGCCTGGCTTGGCTCAGGTGGTTGAGCATGCGACTCTTGATCTCAGGGTCATGAGTTCAAGCCCCATGTGGGGCATGGAGCCTACTTAAAATAAAAATTTAAAAGGAAAGAAAAGAAAATCATAAGAGAAAATACATTTACAGTACGGTATTATAGATTAAAAAATCTGCATATAAGTGGACTTGTGCCATTCAAACCTTTGTTCAAGGGTCAACCGTATAAATGATTTGGGGATAAAGAGTTTTCCAGGCCACCACTTCCCTTTGGTTGCAAATATTCAGAGCAAATACTCTGTCTTCTACTTATTTAGAAATTACTAATAAGCCACAGCAAATTGATGTGGAAACAATGAAGGAAGGTAACTACAAAATTAAACCATCATTAGTGACTACAGATAATAAGTTAAATCAAACAACCCAGTTATCATACTAATTAAAGCCTATGGTAGATTTTGAGAAACATCCATCTTAAAATTAGTTAAAATAGAAAATATCCTATTTTGATCATTCTTGTACTTTTCTGGAAGGTTCACCCCGACGTTAGGTCGTATTAATGATACTAGCTGGTAACATAGTAATAGTCTTGTTTTTAAGAAGACTTTTATTGAATTATAAGTTCTAAATTATACAGGAGTCTAATATTAAAATAGAGTTGGCAGTGTACTCAAAAGAAGCAAAAAACTTTCCAATTTTAATTTTCCCACTCTTACCCCACCCCTTCACGTCTAGGGAATCTCTATAAGACAGTTGTTTAATGCACACAGAGTTACAGTTTTGCAATATGAAAAAGTTCTAGAAATTTATTGCACAATAATGTGAAAGTACTGCTGAACTATACACTTAAGAATGATTAAATTTCATCTCAATTTCAATTTTTTACCACAATTAAAAAAATTTTTAAATAATAAAAATGGTTTGGAACAGACATACACTCAGAGGTTTTATTTTGTTCCGACCTAATAAAAATACCTATGTTATAAATACATCCCTGGAGATACTAACCCAAGGTTCATACCCCACTCTTCCAAAGATAGACTCTATATGGGAATGTCAGTCTTCTCACTGCATATATAAATTACAGACACTCCAAGGACGTCTAGTGAAGTTCAAAGTTGCCACATTTTTATGAGAGCTACAAAACCTCAGGAAATGTCGAGAATTCACAAGGATAAACTAGGGTGTGGCATTTCCCAGGCAAAAGGAAAATTTGCAGCCCTTTGATTCTTCTAACTCCTCTCCCCTCTGTCCTAAAAGGCAACTACAGTATGGTATTGGAGGGGAAAGGACCCTTTCTAACTTGAGAGCTGAGAAATCTGTTCAGGTCCTCTGTGAATCAGATTTCACCTGATCGTGAGGCGAAGACAGCCTGAAAACCATAAAATCTGACATTCGTGGCCACAGGACTCTGCTAATCCCCCTAGGTCCTCACAGAAGTGTCATGGCATCTTGACTGGAGTCAGGCAGCTTGCAGACGGGTTCTATATAGATGTACATTTATACATCCTTACAATAGAACTTGACCTAGTCATTAAATTCCTAGCCATTCTTGAGCAGCTCCCTTGAACAAGTCTGAAATCTAATTTATACGGGGCCGTAACACTCTTTCCTGGAAACCCATGCGCAGGTGGTGCTTAAGGGTCAGGTTCTAGCACGCAAAACACTTTCTCTTCCTAACATCTCCCCAGCCTCTGTCTTCATCCCACATTTTCTGTTATTTATGCCTTTCCCCTTAAGTGACACAATGCAACATTTTTTAAATTGAGCGCAGGAATGGGTTCTCTGGTAAGTGTGATTTCTCTGAATTGTTCTCAGGAAGACCATTCCCCAGGGGAGGTCTAGCTCTTCATTAGAAAGACAAGCATTTCTCACAGATTTTCAGCTCAGAAAGCCATTTTGCAGGGACCCACATGTAACAGATACAGTGTCCGGGGGTGGGCATGTAAATATGCTCATGGAGGCTCCTAGGTGCCATGGTCTGTTCCCCTTCTCCATTTCTGAGCAAACGCTGACCACCAGGTGCTGAATTATTTCATTGTTCAGGTTTAATGAAGCTTTTTTCCTTTCAGTGAATATGGAGTCTTAGATATTTGGTTCTGGCAGGTCTTTGTTCACATAAAATCTTCAAATGAGCCACTTGATGCTGCAGAATTCACAGTGTGTTAGAAGTGCTGGACAGTTCATCCCTGATGGACATTGCAAGACTATCTCAGATAGAAAGAAAAATGCTCCGAAAAAGCCTACATAAGGCCCTCTGATCACTGGCAATATTTACAGCGTGCATGTGTTAACTGTCACATTTTTGCTATTCATCCTGGATGTTTTTGGCCACGATTTCTTTTTCTTTTAAATATACAGTGCTTTAAGTGACAGAACCCATTTTTGTCCACATTATCCCGTTTGAAACTTACAGCTACCCTGTGAAGCCTGATACTGGAGCTCACCTACTGTGGTGATTCAGTGGGTTATAGGGGAGTGCAAATATCCAGCCTTCACTTCCCGGGGGGTCAGCCTGGTCGGGAGGCTGACAACTCCCCCCATGGCCACTTCCACCCCAGAGGAGCTCTTTGGTTTACCCCAGCATGCCTTTGTTTTTTTAACGTGTGTCATGATGTGTGAAAGGCTGGAGAGCTGTGTGATATCACTGTTTTCCTACCGTGCAGGAAAAAAAATAAAAGCCAGCCTTGGGGAAATAAAGAGAGGGCTTAAGATGACTGAGCTGGCTGGGGCCAGAAGGCACGACTCAACTTGGCATCTCTGATTCCATCGCTCATCTTCCTTCTCTTATACCCTGCCACTTCTCAACTAGGAACTTTGAAGTTGGTCCATGACTGAGTCATACAGGGAGGATAAAATCAATTTCTGTGACTTACATGCAAAATAGGAAATATTCAGTGAAAGGTAACGTAGCACAGTGGCTGAAAACAACGACACTGGGGCCCACTTGCCGGGGTTTACATCCCAACTCCGTCACTTACCAGCTGTGTGTCCTTGGGCAAGTCACTTGGCTTCTAGGTGCCTGTTCCTGTATCTGTAAAATGGGGATAATAATAGTGTCTAGCTCATAGTGTTGTTGGGAGGACTGAACGAGTTGAGAAATGTAAAATGCTGAGAACAGTGCCTGGTATATAGAATACATATCCTACGGTCACTATTGTTACTACACTGTGTGCACTAACTTTCTCCAGGAAGCACCACCACTTACTCTCCAGAGTGGTTGGTAGCAGCTTTGCTTGTTGGTCCTCAGGCAGCTGACAAGAGCAGCTGAGTAATTGCTGGACGATTCCAGGACTCATTCGTTTGAAGTCTTCCTTGGAAATGGGTGAAAGACTGTTCTGTAGAAATATCTCCACCAGCTGCCCCGCAGAGAAGCAAGACTGCGTGGGGAAAACATGGTTAGTAATTCCAGCAAACAAATTTTCCATCAGTTGCCGTTCCTGAGAAGTCAGAGCCAAACCAAATGGCTAAAAAGGACACAAGAAGCCACTCGTGCCTGTTTTCCCCTGCAATCATAATTTCCAAGGATTATTTTAAACCTCTGTCAGAGAGAGAGTGCACAAGCAGGGGGAGCGGCCGGCAGAGCAGGCAGAGGGAGAAGCAGGCTCTCTGCCAAGCAAGGAGCCTGATGTGGGACTCGATCCCAGGACCCTGGGATCATGACCTGAGCTGAAGGTAGACACTTAACCGACTGAGCCACCCAGGCGCCCCTATTTTAAACCTCTGATCAAAGTCAGCTGCACCTCACTTTTGCTTTGAGTATGATTAGAATGAGTTTTGCACCCTTTTTTTCTTTCCTGAAAACATGCACTGTATTTTACAATGTGTCGAATGGTTTTCTAACCAGCAGTCTAAGGCAACCTTGATGCTTTCTTTTTTTTTTTTTTTGCTTTTCAGTGGGGATGGCTTTGTCTCAAGAGTCAAGATTTCATATGATAAACAGGAGCTCTGAGGTAATGAGATCGTTGTCTTTAATATTCTCTGATTGGCTAAGCCTGTGTGGGCAACGTGTATTTTCAAAAGCAAAAGTTAATGTTTTTAAAAAGTGAATGCTGGGCACCCGGGTGGCTCAGTTGGTTAAGCGACTGCCTTCGGCTCAGGTCATGATCCTGGAGTCCCGGGATCGAGTCCCACATCGGGCTCCCTGCTCAGCGGGGAGTCTGCTTCTCCCTCTGACCCTCCCCCCTCTCATGCTCTCTCTCTCTCTCTCATTCTCTCTCTCAAATAAATAAATAAAATCTTTTAAAAAAAAGTGAATGCTGTGTCAACCAGCATGTGTGTAAACACTAAATAATACGGACACCTTTGTAACCGACCTCCCTTCTCCACCAAAACAATTGAAATCATTATGATTCCTTTGCTGTTTTTCTATGCTGTATAGACATGTTCATGAGAGGTAAGGGTTATTCGTAAACAACAAAGGCAACAGGTCTCTCAACATTGCCACAAGGAAATTTGTGCATCTCGGGAGTGTTCGGGGCTGACTGTGTGTATCAAAAATGGCATTTAAAAGTTTTAATGTGTATATAGTTCCAGCAGCACAAATGGTGAAATCAAACCCTAGGGCGACGTATTTGTGAGCTGTAGTCACAATCAATATGGTAGTTGAAGAAACCAGTACTTTACAAGGCTTGTGTGATTTGCTCTGTGGGGGAATGTAGGGATTTTTAACAAAGGCACATTGCTGATCAGAAAATGATGACGTATTTGCTGGGTTTTCCCAACAGACATTTTTGGGGGGATGAGTCCATGAATAAAAAATGTTTTATCTTGATCAGGGAAGATTTGGTTGCAGGGAAGAGAATCCACTCAAATCAGTGAGAACCAAGAGGAGTTTGTATTGGAAGGATGCTAAGGATCTCTGAGTTTGAAAAGGCAGCCACACTTCAAGAGGAACTCAACTTGAAGCTAGAAAAATCAGAACCAAAGATGTTTCTGACTCTGTCTGTTTGGGGCCAAGTATTTTCTCCTTTCTGTTTCCTGCTGCATGTATCTATTTCCTTTCGCGGTCCAGTGTTCTCTCCTTTAGTAAACACAAGGTCATATAAGCCCCAACTCTGAAGTGACCTCTCAGCCCACAAACCCAAGATTGAGTGGAGTCTGCAAGTCCCGACAGAGATCTGATTGCTTCAGCAAAGCCACAGATGGGCTCTCTGGGGTCAGACGTCCCTCTGGTTCAATCAGTTTTGCCCACGAGATAGGAGGTGGGATCAGATTGTTCAGACACGGCTGCCAGCCTCACGCCTGTGAGTGAGGAAGGAATTTCTCAGAAAAGGACTGGGCAAAACTCCAAAAGGTTTCTACTACAAAAAGCAACGACAGAAAGCTAAACCTGGGTTTGTCTTTTTCCCTTTGTCAAAATAATTTGTGCCAAAGACAATATTCTCTTTTGTACCATTTGTTACTAATGGAATATAATTACTTCACCATTAAATATCCTGACAACAACAAAGGGAAACTGGCAACAAACTTTTGATGATGAATCCTTTGTAATAAACATTCTCATTGAAAAGTGCTTGACTGGTAAGTAAAACAGTGCAGAGACAAACATGAACAGAATGCTATGCATCTTTCACCAGTTCACTGCCAAGAAATTGAATCGTTCTGGTCTTAGACTACCTTCTCCTAGAGTAAGGATATTCTATTAAAAGCTTCTGTGCCCTTGATCTTTATTTGCTGTTCCTGTGTTATTTAGGTCATTTGTTTGTTTTAAATTTCTTCTGAAATCACTAACACAAATGTCCTTAATGGTGATTCATTATATTCTATATATCTGAAACCCCAATATTTTTAATAAAGAACAAACTAGAATGAAAATTTAGATTATCCAGCCAATAGCCTTTAAAATATCTTTATTCCTTTGCATAAAACTTCAAATTATGTGTATCCTTGTTTTGATGTCATCAGACTTCTATGATAACTTTACAAACATTCTAAAGCAGTGGTTCATGAACTTCAGTTTTGAGAATCACTTGGAGGGCTTGTTAAAAGACAGAGTGCTGGGCTCTACTCTCAGAGTTTATGATTCAGCAGGTGCTGGGGTGGGACCTGAGAATTTGCATTTCCAAGAAGTTCCCAGGTACAACACTGGTTTGAGAACCACTGGTCTAAATAACATAAGCAGGATCTTCAGATCTGGTCTATCTTAGGGTCCTATCAAGAGTCACAAGGACAGTGACATATTGGGACAGAGAAGAACCATTTGCATTGTTAGCACAGGAAATGACTATTACTGTTCTTGGAAGTCACATGCCTTAAGTAGGTAGTTCCCAAATTTTAAGAAACAATTTTCATTCTTTATGAAGATAAGGTCTCATTAGGCAAATTTGCTCCCTTCTATAAGCCAGCCCTGAAGAAGCATCTAAGAAGACCTGGCAAACAAAGATTAACATAGGCATCAGCTCTCTTCACTTTGTGTTGAATACAATTAGCATGAGTTTGAAAGAATCAACTTTCATACATGTCTTTATATCTTATATATATATATATATCTCACATATATATCACATATACAGCAGAAGTAACAGAAATTTACTTTTAAAAATATCTAATATTTTAATAATCTGTTTTTGTCTAAAAAGCAAAACAAGCAAACAACAACAACGAAGAGAAACAGACTCGTAAATATGGAGAACCAACTAGTGGCTCCCCGAGGGGAGGGTTTGGGGTGGGGGGTGGGCAGAATAGATGAAGGGGATTAAGAGATACAAACTTCGGAGGGTTGGAGGGAATATATGATACCGCCCAGTCATGTATATATAACTCAAAGGAACAACATTCTGCATTGTTAAGAATCTGTAAGGGATTTGGCCCTTTTAAGGTACTGACTATACCTTGCTCACCTAAGATACAAATAACAAAAATAGTTTTATTTAAATCAACATTTCCCAAACAATAGCACAGCTGTTACCAGCACAGAGTATGTTTTTAGACAACCTATGTGTATATCCTAGTTTCTGTGAGCTGAAGCAATTATTTATTAGTTCCATGTCTTGATTTCTTCATCTGTAGTATGGAGTAATATACCCTAACCTCATATAGTTGTGATAATAATTAAATGAGGCAATGCAGGTGAAACAGTGCTCTAATACATAGTATATACTCAATAAACATAAGCCATGTTTGTGAAACATCAATTTATCAGGATTTTAAATGGTTAGGGCTGGGAAGAATTCTGTAGTCAAGTTTTGAGAAATGCTGGATTCAATAAGATTAAAGAAGTTTATTTGCTAAAGGACCTCCCCAGATAACTTAATAAGCTACAGAGTAATATGCATTTCTAGTATTTCCCAAACCAATTTGACCACAGCACTCCTTTTCAAAGAGCATTAAGATAGACTAGTGAATGTACTTTGGAGTACAACTTTAGGTAATAATGGATATAAATATGTTTATAAGTTCATATATCACCTTTTCTCAAAAAACTTCTCAGTGCTACCTACTATACAAATATTTGTCTGTTACTCGCAGGTCAAAGTAATCTCTTCATAACCTAATCTACGTTTAAAGCATTCATCCGTCATTGTAAGTATATATGTAATGTTTGTATACTCCTACTACCCTGTAAGCACCAAAGGAATTGTGCATATTTTTGTTCAGCACTGTATCCCTAATGGCCATGACGGTGACTGGCAGGTAGTAAATGCTCAGTATGTTTGCTGAATTAATTATTTGTGCATTTAATACAGACACAAGGGCGGAAAGAGTCATATATATATATTATATATATATATATAAAATATATATACACACACACATACACTATATGTTTTTCCTACATGTCTTGGCCTCATGTTTATGTCTACAGAGATCTATTTGTAGAAGAAAAAAAACCATGACCACTGTAGAAATAGAATATTTTTACATTTAAGGAAATACACATTATCCTTTAAATTTTCCACAACTCTTATAGAACTTCCACAACTTTGACAGTAGCAACTGGTGGTATAAGAATAACGACCATACCTCATCCCAGGAAGCTGAACCATCATCTGACTCTTGGCCCATGGATAGATTAGGGTAGCCCCAATCATAGATTGATAGGTTGTTCTGTTTCCTTTGAAGTTGATGGATTTTATCTTTTCTGATACAGGTACTTTTGGTCCAGAGAATGTTGAGGAGTTGGTCTAGTTCTAGAAATTTCACACAAAATCTGGCGTCACATAGAATAAAGATAAGTCAATCTCAGGATAATCACAATTTCTTATGGCCACAGCATAGATATTTTGCTAGATAAATTTGGTTCTAATGAAAAGTCAAGATGTTACTCTGGACAATAATAAAAGAACACTTATACTTCATGTGAATATTGATTGTCTCACAAGATTTTGACTAAGCTTTGGAGCTAAATCAGCCTTACAAAGATGTTCCTACCATTTTTATCTCCTAGGGATGATACAATGGGCAATTCCTCCCAAGAGATACCTTCTCTTGAGCCAACTATTTCTTTTTCTAGATGGTCCATATAAAAATGCAAACAAAAGATAGAACTGGCCTAATCCCTAGGAAATTTATTTCCTTGAGGTACTATATACATCCTTAGTAGATTAACGATAACTTTAATTTGATTATGTAAATAAAATTATTTTCCTTTTAAGGGTTTGTTTAGGCAGAAACCAGAAAGGAAATAAAAGGGATCTGAGATTGTAGAGACAAGCTGACTTTTTTTTTTTTAAGATTTTATTTATTTACTTGACAGAGAGACAGCAAGAGAGGGAACACAAGCAGGGGGAGTGGGAGAGGGAAAAGCAGGCTTCCCGTGGAGCAGGGAGCCTGATGCAGGGCTCGATCCCAGGACCCTGAGATCATGACCCGAGCCGAAGGCAGTTGCTTAACCAACTGAGCCACCCAGGCACCCCGCTGACTTTGTTTTCTAATGCTACCATGGTATGGTTGCCAGTTTATAGATTACAGTTTAGTTTCCCTTAGTAGAGCTCTAGGCTTTAAATTGATTGATACAGAGAATAATTAAATATAATGGTGAATTTATTTGGATTTATCCATCTTCTTGCTTGTGAAGACAATGTCTCTGGTATTTTCCTGAATGTTATCATTAATGACAAGAAAAATTACTTCTATGTTTCATTTTAAATAACTGACTTTCAGTGAAAAAAAAATTATAAGACTTGCAAAAAAATGGGAATGTGGGGCCCAAAATCAGGGAAGAAAGCAGTCAATAAATAGGTCTCTGAGTATTCCCAGATGTTGGATTTAACAGAAAAAGACTTCAAAGCAGCTAATTAAAAGTGGGCTAAAGGAACTAAAGGAAATCATATTTAAAGAATTAAAGTGTGACAATAATAAGTCAACAAATAGGAGAAATAAGAAATTCAAAATTATATAAGTGTCCAAATGGAAATTTTGATGTTGACTACAATAAGTGAAATGAAAAAATCACTAGAGGAGTTCAACAGCATATTTGAAATAGTAAAAGGAAGATTTACTGAAAATGGAGATAGATTAATAGAAATAATCCAGTCTGAAGAGTGAGGGAGAAAAAGATTTAAAAAAGAACAAATTCAGAGACCTATGGGACAATAGCAAGTATACCAACGTATATGTAATGACAATCACAGAAGAGAAACATGTAGAAAAAATATTGGAAGAAATAATGTCAAAATTATCCAAATTTGATGTAAAACCTTAATTTACATGTTCAAAAAGTTTAGCAGACATCAAGTAGGATAAATATAAAAAGATCCACACCCAGACACATTGAGGCAAAATTGATGAAAGTCAAAGAAAAAAATAAATCTTGAAAGCAGCAACAGAAAAATGACTTATCAAATGCAAGGAACCAACAATACAAATAGTACCTGACTTCCCATCTGAATAACAGAGACCAGAAAGTAGTGGAATGGTATACTCAAAGTGCTAAAAGAAAAAACTGTCAATCAAAAATTTTATATCCAACAAAACAATTCTTCAGAAATGATGGTGAGATAACAGCTGAAAAATTCTCAAATCTGGGGAAGGGAAAAGAAATCTAGACCCAGAAGGCACAAGGAACCCCCAGCAAAATCAACTCAAGGAGGTCCACACAAAGACATATAGTAATTAAAATGGCAACAAGTAGTGATAAAAAGAATTTTAAGAGCAGCAAGAAAAAAGATAACAGCTACATATAAGAAAAACCCCATAAGGATTTTAGCTGATTTTTCAGCAGAAACTTTGCAGGCCAGAAGAAAGTGGCACTACATATTCAAAGTGCTGAAAGAAAAAAAAAAAACTGCAACCAAGAATACTCTATCCAGCAAGGTTATCATTCAGAATAGAAAGAGAGATAAAGAGTTTCCCAAACAAACAAAAATTAAAGGAACCCATGATCACTAAACCAGCCCTACAAGAAATGTTTCCTTTGCATGGCAAGGAAAGGACCATAAGGAAGAGCAAGAAAAATAGGAAGCATAAAAGCAATAAAAATAAATGTATCTATGAAAATCAAAGGACTCACAAAATAAAAGGATATAAAGGACACCATATACTAAAATGTGGGGGCAGGGAGAGGAGTAAAGAATCGGTTAAAACTTGGGCAACCATCAAATTAATATAAACTGCTATGTATAGAACATGTTATTTACAAGCTGAACAGTAACCACAAATCAAAAATCAGTAATAGATATGCAAAGAATAAAGAGAAAGGAATCCAAGTATATTGCTAAAGAGAGCCAACTAATCAAGACAAAAGAGAGTAAGAGAAAAGAGGAACAGAAAAGAACTACAAAAATAACCATAAAATGAGTAAAAAAAAAATGGCAATAAATACATACCGATCAATAATTACTTTGAGTGTAAATGGGCTAAATGCTCCAATCAAAAGACAGGATGACAGAATGAATGAAAAAGTGAGACACATCTATATGCTGCCTGTAAGAGATTCATTTCAGCCCTAAAGACACATGCAGATTGAAAGTGAAGGAATGGAGAAGCATTTATCATGCACAAGGATTAAAAAAGAAAGCCAGGGTAGTAATACTTATATCAGATAAAATGACTTCAAAACAGAGACTGTGACAAGAGACAAAGAAGGACACTATAAAATCATTAAGGGGGCAATCCAACAAGATGATATAACAGTTGTAAATATTTATGCACCCAACATGGGAGCATCCAAATACATAAAACTGTTAATAACAAACATAAAGAAAGTAATTGATAGTAATACAAAAATAGTAGGGAACTGTAACACCCCACTTACATAAATGGACAGATGATCCAAACAAAAATCAACAAGGAAATAGTGACTTTGATTGATACACTGAACCAGCAGGATCTAACATATATTCAGAATATTCCATCTTAAAATAGCAGAATATATATTCTTTGCAAGTGCACATGGAACATTCTCTAGAATGGGTTACATATAAACACTAAAGAAGTCTCAACAAATTCAAAAAGATAGAAGTCATACCATGCATATTTTCTGAACATAACGTTATGAAACTAGAGATCAACCACAAGAAAAAATCTGGAAAGAGCACAAATGCATGGAGATTAAACAATGAATGGATCAACCAAGAAATCAGGGAAGAAATAAAAAAGTACGTGCAGAGAAATGAAAATGAAAACAGAACAGTCTAAAATTTTGGAGGTGTAGCAAAAGCTGTTCTAAGAGGGAATTTTATAGCAATACAGGCCTACCTCAAGAAGCATGAAAAATCTCAAGTAAATAACCAAATCTTACACCTAAAAGAGCAAGAAAAAGAAGAATAAACAAAACCCAAAACCAGGAGAAGGAAGGAAATAACAAAGATTAAGGCAGAAATAAAATAGAAAATAAAAACACCAATAGAACAGATCAATGAAACTAGAAGCTGGTTCTTTGAAAAGATCAACAAAACTGCTAAACCTTCAGTGAGACTCTTGGAAAAAAAAAGAGAAGACTCAAAAAAATCAGAAATGAAAGAGGAGAAATAACAACTGACACCACAAAAATATGAAGGATTAGAAGAGAATACTATAAAAAATCATATGGCAACACACTGGACAACCTAGAAAAAAATGGATAAATTCCTGGAAACATATAACCTACAAAATGGAATCAGGAAGAAATAGAAAATTTGAACAGATTGATTACTAGCACTGAAATCAAATCAGTAATCAAAAAACTTCCAGGGTGCCTGGGTGGCTCAGTCAGTTAAGCATCCAACTCTTGATTTCCACTCAGATCATGATCTCAAGGGTTATGGGATCAAGCCTCACACCAGGCTCCATGCTGGGCATGGACCCTGCTTAATATTCTCTCTCCCTCTCCCTCTCCCTCTGCCCTTACCCCCCAAAACAAAACACAGCAAAACAAAACAAAACTTCCAACAAATAAAAGTGTAGGACCAGACGACTTCACAGGTGAATTCTACCAAACATTTAAAGAAGAGTTAATATCTATTCTTCACAAACTATTCCAGAAACTAGAAGAGGAAGGAAAACTTCCAAATATATTCTATGAGGCCAGCATTACCTTGATACCAAAGCCAGATAAAGACACCAAAAAAAAAAAAAAAAAAAGAGAGAGAGAGAGAGAGAGAGAGAACTACAGGCCATTATCTCTGATGAATATAGATACAAAAATCCTCAACAAAATATTAGCGCGCTGATTCCAACAATACATTAGAAAACCATTTACTGGGACACTGGGTGGCTTAGTTGGTTGAGCATCTGACTCTTGGTCTTCGCTCAGATCATGATCTCAGGGTTGTGAGATTGACACCTACATCAGGCTCCATGCTCAGTGGGGAGTCTGCTTGAGATTCTCTCCCTCTTCCTCTGCCCCTCCCCCACTCTGTCAAATAAATAAATCTCTAAAAAAATCATTTATCATGATCAAGTGGCATTTATTTCTGTTATGCAAGGGTTGTTCAATATTTGCAAAGCAATCAGTATGATATATCATATCGACAAGAGAAAGGATAAAAACCATACAATCTTTTCAATAGATGCAGAAAAAGCATTTGACAAAGTACAACATCCACTCATGATAAAAACCCTCAACAAAGTAGATTTAGAGGGAACATACCTCAACATAATAAAGACCCTATATAAAAAACCCACAGTTTACATCATCCTCAATGGGGAAAAACTGAGAGCTTTTCCTCTCAGGTCAAGAACAAGATAAGGATATCCACTCTCACCACTTCTATTCAACATAGTACTGGCAGTCCTAGCCACAACTATCAGACAAGAAAAAGGAATAAAAGGCATCCAAATTGGTAAGGAAGAGGTAAAACTTCCACTATTTGCAGATGAGATGACACTATATATAGAATCTCGAAAGACTCCTCCAAAAAACTACTAGAACTGATAAAAGAATTCAGTAAGGTTGCAGGATACAAAATCAATACACAGAAATCTGTTGCATTTCTATACACTAAAAATCAAAGAGCAGAAAAAGAAATTAAGAAAATAGTCCCATTTAAATTACACCAAAAATAATAGAATACCTAGGAATAAATTTAACCAAGGAGGTAAAAGATCTGTATTCTGAAAAGTATAAAACACTGGTGAAAGAAATCGAAGATGACACAAACAAATGGAAAGATATTCCATGCTCATGGATTGGAAGAATAAATATTGTTGAAATGTCTGTACTATCCAAAGCAATTTACAGATTTAATGCAATCCTTATCAAAATACCAACAGCATTTTTCACAGAACTGGAACAAGAAATCCTAAAATTTGTATGGAACCACAAAAGACCCCAAATAGCCAAAATAATCTTGAAAAAGAAAAAACTGGAGGTATCACAATTCCAGATTTCAAGTTATACTTACAAAGTGGCAATAATCGAAGAAGTATGGTACTGGCACTAAAATAGACACATAGATCAATAGAACAGATTAGAAAGCCCAGAAATAAACCCATGATTATATGGTCAATTAATCTTCAACAAAGAAGGTAAGAATATGCAATGGGAAAAAGTCTCCCCAACAAATGGTCTTGGGAAAACTTGACAGTTATATGCAAAAGAATGAAACTGGACCACTTTCTTATATCATACACAGAAGTAAACTAAAAATGGATTAAGGACATAAATGTGGGATCTAAAATCATAAAAATCCTAAAAGAGAGCATAGGTAGTCATTTCTCTGACATAGGCCATAGCAATATTTTTCTAGAAATGTCTCCTGAGGCAAGGGAAAGAAAAGCAAAAATAAACTATTGGGACTACATCACAATAAAAAGCTCCCACACAGCTAAAGAAACCATCAAAAAAACTAGAAGACAACCTACTGAGTAGGAGAAGATATTCGGAAATGAAAATCCAATAAAGGATTAGTGTCCAAAATATATAAAGAATTTATACAACTTGACACGAAAAGATCAAATAATCCAATTAAAAATGGGAAAAAGAAACAAATATTTCTCCAAAGAAGACATCCAGATGGCCAGCAGACACATGAAAAGATGCTCAACATCACTGACATCAGGAAAACATAAGTGAAAACCACAATGAGATAGCACCTCACACCCGTCAGAATGGCTAAAATCAAAACACAAGGAACAACAAATGTTAGCAAGGATGTGGAGGAAAAGGGAGCCATTGGGCACTGTTGCTAGGAATGCAGATGGGTGCAGCCACTGTGGAAAACAGTATGGAGATTCCTCAAAAAACTAAAAATAGAACCACTATATAATCCTGTAACTCTACTGGATATTTACCCAAAGAATATGAAAACATTAATTCAGAAGGTTATATGCACCCCTATGTTTATTGTAGCATTATTTACAATAGCCACATCATGGAAACAGCCCAAGTGTCCATTGATAGACGGATGGGTAAAGGAGATGTGGTATGTATATACAATGGAATATACATAGAAAACCACATCTGTCATTCAAATTGTTGGGCAAATAGGTCCAGGGAAAGTTTAACACTGAATTGTATGGCTCCAGCTCTCGATCCCTTCAGACTTGGGGGGGTTTATCCAGATCACGGGTGTTGTTGGTCCCTTGGTAAAGTCACATCCCTTTATGTTGTGACTTCGCAAGAGGAAGTGCGTCAGGAGCAGCACCAGCTCTTATGCGACACTCCTGGAGCCCTTGGTGTACAAATTTGATACAGATTTTTAAAAATGTCGTTTCCGGGGCACCTGGATGGCTCAGTTGGTCATGATCTCATGGATTGTGGGATCAAGCCCCGAGTCAGCTCCACATTCAGCAGGGAGTCTCCTTGACATTCTCTCTCTCCCTCTGCCCCTCCCCCCTCACTCTTTCGCTCTTTCTAAAATAAATAAATCTTACCAAAAAATTAAAATTCATTTCATTTTTAATGTCTTGTCAAGGACAAAGAAGTGTGCAAAACAAACATTCTGATTCCATTCCCAGCATCCCATTTTACCTTGGAGTTCCAAAAAGCTGGCAGTCATGAATGTAGCCAGAAAGGATAGTTCACATGACTTTTATTTAAAATTAAATAGTTTACTGTTATAGTTACAAGCAAACATAACCAAGGTTCTTGCACCATTTGGCATACTATTTCATCATTCTTATGCAATATTTTGTGACCCCTGGCTCAGGGCTATGTACTAAGTCGAAAAGTGTTCATTAGTACTTAGAGCAGGTCGTAAAAATCTCTCCCTTGGCTCTGAATCCACAATACCACCATCAAATGATCCAAGTCCCTATTTTTGCCTCATCGCCACATAGAGACAATAACATGTTTGCCTTGAAAAGGTCTGAGCTGTCTTACTACACGGTAAGATAAAATGGTGTTTAGAACATACCCGAACAAATTTAGTCATCAAAAAGCATCAGTCTTTCTTTTGGGCACAATTCATTTAGTAGGTATGACTTGGGAGTTAAATTCATGAAAAGCATCCTTACCCGAGAGGTGGAGAGTATTTGAACTATTCAAAAAACTGAAAATATATTCTGTAAAATAGTCTGGGGAAGGCAAATTCCTTTGCCCCAGACAAACACCTTGGAGGGACAAAGCGATGATTGTCGCCGCCAACTGAGGAAGTGTATTTTCATCAGCACCGTCACTGCTCACTATTCCAGATTTTTCCTGCAGCATTTTGGTTTCCATACACTGAAATCAGATACACAGTCAAAAGAAAAGTTTGAACCTCTGAAGTTATTTGGTTTAAAATATCGCTAGGATTTCCCCAAAACACAAGAAATAGTTCTTTACCTTAAAGAGGTCTGAATTGTTTGTAGGAACATGAATACCGTCATTCTCTAATCTCAGAATTGTTTGGAAAATTCTTGTTTCTTTTATTCGCCCTGACGCTGGACCTTCTAACTCCCATCGTTTTGGTCCTTATCTACCTAACCTTTCTCATTACTCCCTCAGAGATGTGTTTTCTCCAAGAAGATCCTTTGCTCTTACTGCTCACGACCTTCCAGTTGGTGAATTGTTTCTCTCCAGCTTTAAGAAGAGCCTGCAGTGTAATGACTTCCAAATCTATATTCCCAACCTTGACTTCACATTGGCTCTGGTGCCTTGTGTCAGCACAGAAAACTTCTCTTTTCACCCCTGCCTTTAGTCTCAAGTTCAATGTGTGCTAAGTGCAAATCAAAGCTAGCACAGTCTGTGTTCTTTGAACTCCCATCAGACATAGGATCTTTTCCATTTGCACATCAATTTTCTTCAATTAAATTATGGGCATCTGAAAGGCAAGAATCTTGCTTTGCATTCCACTAGTATATCCATTCACTCATTTAAACATTTATTGAGTGCGTATTATGTGCCAGACACTATGCTAAGTCCATTATATTATGCTCTGTCATTCTCCCAGAGCTCTGTGCAGTGGATACCCTTTACACAGATCACCAGACCAGTAACGGAGTCCCAGTGCGCACTCAGATCTGACTCCACAGCGTATGCTTTTCAATACTCTTCCTCTTGTATATAGAAATAAATGGAAACACAGGATGGGGCGTTACTGGACTTTCATATCATCAAAGCAAGTGCCACGGCATAGTGCTTGGGATAGACAGATAAGACTTTAATATTATCTCTGCTATTTGTAACTGCGTGACCTCGGGCAAAATGATTAACTTTGTTAACCTTCATGTTCTTTATCGGTAAAAAAGGACAATGCTGCCCACCACAAAGGTTATTAAGATTAGATGAGCTAATGCATGAAAAATTCTTAATATAGTAGCTGGTACATAGGACAGAGTTAGCTAATCTTAGCATTACTATTGTTGGACCCAGTGTCTAGTTGTGCATCTGACAGACAGTAGGCTGGAGAAGGTGGCAAGAGGCTTATACTCAGCGTTATGAAAACTTTTCCCCTAAAGGCTCCAGAGGAGCCATTAATGTTATAAAAAAAAAGGATAATACAATAAGGTATGTTATAGAAATATATCACTCTGGTGGCAAAGTAGTGAATAAATTTCCAGGGCTAGAATTTAAAAGCAGGAGTATAGTTAAGAAGTTATTGATTAAAGAGAGCACGTACTGCGTGGAGCACTGGGTGTTATACGCAAACAATGAATCATGGAACACTACATCAAAAACTAATGATGTATGGTGATTAACATAACATAATAAAAAAAAGAAAAATAAGAAAAATAAGATCTTAAAAAAAATGAAAAAAAAGAAAAAAAAAGAATAAGAAGTTATTGATTAACCCAAGGTATTTCTTGACCTCAGATGGTAGCACTGGAGATGGAAAGAAGTGGATGTATTTGAGGAATATTACAAAGGACTTGGAAGAAAATGTGAAGGAGTCTGAAGAGTTAAAAATGGCTCAGGTTTCTGGATTTATCAACTGTAGGACGGTAATACCATCCACCATTCCTCCATATAAGAGTCGGAGTTAGTGGAGAAGTCTATACTGATCCCTATTTATCACGGTAATAGCCAACAGTGGAAAGAGCAGAGAGCACTGGGAGCAAGAGGTTGAGTCAAGGAGCTAAACAATAGTTGGACAAAAGAGAATGAAGGAATGGAGGGATATGTACATTCTGGGCCACCAGGGAGGGTGGCTGGGTTAGCGTACTCGGGTGTAGAGCTGTTTCTGTTGAGCTGGTGAAGGCCTACCCGGAGCAGCTCTTAGTGGCTTCACCTATTGAGGCTGAATCCTGTGCAGACCAAGACCTAGAGATGCTGGTGGTGGTAGGCCTGGTCTACCAGCACCTTCTGTGACCTCACACTCTCTAGTTGGAGAGAGCGGCATCCTCCAGTGAGAGGCCAACTGGCCTCCTGTAAAAGTCTGGATTGACTGACTAAGGATTCCTAAGGGAATTCCAGCCCAAATAAATGGGCTAAAGGATGACAGTGCCATCCTCCAGGAGACAACTGGTCTAAGGCCTAGCAAGAGTTACAACCCAACAAGAGCTCTTAATTCTTCTTGAATGAATAAAAGGAGAAAGTAGGCCTACCCATAATATTGAATTATTTTATTCTGCTCTAGGAATGTTTAATCTCACATACACTTGGAAGCCCAGGTCTTTGCAGTATGTGTTGGATAACCAGAAATCTGCGTTGAACATATACACACCATCTGCTTTTGAGTGCTGGGTTCTCATTCTCACTTAATCTGCATCAAAAGGCAGCAACAGATGGGATGACTAAAATCCTAGTGGCTAATATGAACCGATCTTGTATAGATGTTGCACCGACGAAATTATATGTGGGCCTCTTTCCTTATTTAAGCAGAAACTGAATTCTAGAAAGGAAACCATTTTCTCAATTGGAAGTGGAAACAAAAATATGGCCCTATTTTGAGATTCATGAGATGAGAGTTACCAGAGTGATGCCCACACAGTCCTTCGGAAAGAGTCTTTCCATCTGTGTGCCAATCACAAGAGAAATTAAACGTTTTTACGGCAAATGGGAGGACGTATTTGCTGGTCATTAGGCCACAGCATGATTGCACAGGTACCTCGGGGCTCCCAGGACCCAGAATTGCGGTCAAAAAATCAAACACACCTATACACATCACTATAGACTGAATGTTTGTGTCCCCCTCCACCCACCATCCAAACTGATACGTTGAAATCCTACCACCTACTCTGCTGGTATTACGAGGTGGGGCCTTTGGGCGGTGATTGGGTCATGGGGGTGAAGCCAACATGAATGGGATTGGTGCCCTTATAAGAGAGATCCCAGGGCACTCCATTATCCCTTCTACCATGCGGGGAGATAGTCTCTTGTAAACCAGGATGGGGGGGCTCTCACCCGACTCCAAAACTGTGAGAAAGAAATTTCTCTTGTGTAGAAGCCACTCAGTCTATGGTATTTTTGTTACAGCAGCTCAAAGACACATGTCAATGAAAAATTCAAGAGAAAAAAAAATGATTCACAACACTCTTCAAAATGCATGGGCGGCTGCTCGATTCTTTAAGAAAATGTGGCTTAAAAAACTTCTTTGTTTTTTTTTTTTTTTAATGTTCAGAGCACTTCATCCACTCAGACTTCCCACTGCAAAGCTAATAAAGGTAATTGAAAGGCCAGCTTTTGCTGGAACAGTAAGGAAGGCCAGAAGAGACCAGACACCTGGTTCCTCACAGTGGGAGCCCTGAGGGGAGAAAACCACTTCCAGAGACCCCTTGAACCGAAGCAGCACGAATCAAAAGCTGCAGAAGGGATATTGTCTGTGCTGACGGTCATGAATAATACTTTTGCAAGCTGTTTCTCCAGTGAGGTAACTAATGATAAATTCCTCTCTCTCAAATGGCCCCGCCTTCTTTTCCCCTGGCCAGACAGCAAGGCAAATAGGCATGATGCCCTCCCCTACGTGGGTCAGTCCTTGGAGACTGATCAGGAGCCGTGACTCACTCACTTTCGTGTTCAGGAGAAGAGAGTTGCCCCGTCACCTGGCTTTCCTGCCCACCCACCCACCCACCCACCCACCTTCTGGCTGGAACTCATTTTACAATAATTAGTCATCCCATCTCCCCCTTTTATACTCAGAGTTTTAAATGACATCACTTAACATCCCATAGCTAAAACTCACAAATACCTCTCTTGAAAGTCCTTGGCTGTCCTAGGGATAAATAAGTGACAGGGAACAAGGCTCGGAGACTGTATCTTAGCAGCAAAGCCAGTTGGCACCTTGGCCCTTCTTACCTGGCTTCTAGAAGTGTCAAAGTACTGCCTGGTGAGTGTCAAGATATCTTCTGTCTCGTTCTGTGAAAGGAAATAGGAGTCTTCGTCCTGCCTGAGGCTGAGGAGGCTGTGTAGGTAAAATTTATACTCTTTATTACTCATGTTGAGCTTGGAAGAACAGATCTCTTCCTGATGAATAATGTAATAGAGGAGGAGAAGAGAAACTCTCTGGACCACTTCCTCTCGGAGCTGCTCCTCAAAATCTCCTCCAGCTATTAGTAACAGGGCATCTGGTTCAAAGCACTGTTCCAAAAACACAAAATAGCACACAAGTAGAAACAAAGCTTAGCAAATAGTCCTAGAACGCTAACGACCATCGATCCTCCCCTGCTTATTATTTTTTGAATACGAGGGGAAAGTGGGCAGCCCCAGTAGTCAGCTTCTAATAAGAGAGTGCAGGTTGGACTTTTATACATCAATGATACCCTCCTGGGGAGCCCTTATTCCCTGAGAGTAGTCCTTCTATCTCCGGTTGTCCATATGCTGCCTGGAGTAAAACCAGTTGACTCTTTGGCTTTTTAAAGGAATGCCCCATTGCATTTAGAATGAAATCCAAGCTTTACACAATTTTCTCATTAGTCTGGTTCTTGCCTACCTCCTTCCCTTCCTTCCCTTTAGCCTCGCCCCACCACTCTTTAACTTTCTGCCCCTGTGATTTTCCATCAGTCCCACCAAGCTCCTTCCCACCACCTTCCAGGTCTTCCTCCCCCTCATTTCTCAGATCTAGCTTAAAGTGACACCCCCTCGGGGATGCCTTCCCAAACACCCTATCCAAAGTAGGAAGTCCCAACCCTTGCCCCATGTTCTCCAGTGTGGCGCTGTTCGATGGAAACAGGACCCCAGCCACAGAGGTGAGCCACACATCACTTTAAATTTTCCAGGAGCCACATTTTGGAAAGTGAAATTAATTTTAATAACTTATCTAATAATGTACCTTATTAAAACATACATGCAACATAGGATCACTTCGACATGTCATCAAAATTTTTTAAAAATTATTTAGGAGCCATTTGACATTCTTTTTGTCAGGCTAAGTCTTCAAAATCTGGTGTGTACTTTGCACCTCCCACTGTGTCTCAATTCAGACGAGCCATGTATCAAGTGCCCAACAGTCACAAGGGGCTAGGGACAGCTCCGGCATAAAGCAGGTTTATTTTCTTCGTGGCACTAGTATTCTAAAATTGCTTGCTCTCCATGTTTGTTTTCTCTCTTCCCTTGAGAAGAAGTGATCCATTAGGACCAAGTTTTGTCTGTGCGCAGTTCTATCCTCCGCATCGAGCACAATGCCTAGTGCTTCTGAGGCGTGAAATGGAATGAATGAACACCATCTGCCTCACCTTTACCCTACCTAAGATAATTGCTAAAAATACTTCCACGATGCTTTCTTTGTTTCACACCCACGGCCCTGACGCCTGGCTCGGCTCATCTGGGAAGTTTGCGTGGCAGAAGGTGTTTTGGGTAACGTGATGGGACAATGAGAAAAAAAGATACACACAGGGTTGTGGAACAGAAGCTCTCCTGACAAGACAGGAGCTGCCTTGCTTCAAAGACAGTGAGGTGCTCCTAAGAATTCTCCTAGGATCCCAGAGCAGCGCACTGCACAGCCTCAGCCTCAGAGTGAAGGCATGGAGGGATGCCTGTCCCGAGCCCCCCAGAGGGATTTTTTTCCCACTGTGGGACAAGGTACTAGAATATCTTTTAATCTATTCTCTGAGGTGGAAGCTCCAGGCGTCCTAATTCCATGCGTGCTGTGCGTCCCACTGGCTAACATCTGGGACATACCGTCTGAGTCAGGAAGAAACATGTCATCTGTCTCTAAAGCAAAGCATTCATCACATTCTTCACAAGCCCTACAGATTCCGTTCACTCCCCAACTCAACTGCGCTGGGATAAGAAGAACTCAGCAAACAGGCTTCCCAACGAGACCAACTCAACGTGACTATTAAGCTCCACCACCGAAACCAACCCAGCCCTTTTCTGGTTCTTGATTAGCCCACAAGAAAAGTTCATGGGTTGGTAGCTGTTGGCAGGACTGATGCCAAGACTCAAGGAGGTGAATCAGTTGAAACAAAAGTGTAATCAAGCCATTCTTTGTAATAACATATAACCTCCTAAAACCAAACTATTGGTAATAATCAGCTATCCTTTATTGGAAGCCATGTGCCCAGGACAGTGTCAAGCACCTTAGGTATTCAAGCATTCCTCAGTACCTAAATCTAATTGGTGGGACGCCTGGGTGGCTCAGTCGGTTAAGCGTCTGCCTTCAGCTCAGATCATGATCCCAGGGTCTTGCGATCGAGCCCTGCGTTGGGATCCCTGCTAAGCGGGGATTCTGCTTCTCCCTCTGCCTCTGCCTCTCCCCTCAGCTTGTACTCTCTCTCTCTGTCAAATAAATAGATAAAATCTTTTAGAAAAACAAATCTAATTTGTTCTGGAAAAAATGTCAGATAATGAATTTTTTGATGGTAAGAATATTATTCCATGATTTTAAATGGAAAAACAAAATGTCCTCAGCTTATTTGATAACCCACCAAATACTTCTGTGTACTGTTAAGCACTAAGAATACCAATAACCCAATTATTTAACACATAGTGAATAATGGGTACATTTCTGTGCAGTATGCAGGGATAATGCACAGAATCCATCACGAGTTATGTCTTCCTTCTATAAGGAAGGTATATCTATAGCATATGTGAAAACCAAGTCAAAGAAAGGGTAAGTAATGTACCTAAGGACACGAAGCTAATAGTGGTTGCCCAATCTTAATTCCTCCTCTGCAAATGATAGGTTTTATTCTCTTATTCATTTGTTTTGTGCCACGAAGAACATAAGCTGTAGACCCACCTATGTACTTAATGTGCAGCCCCTTCAACCAGTAATTTTCTCTCTCTCCTGTTTGATAGAAAAAGAGGTCAGTTAGGAGACCAAGGGATTGGGGGCGCCTGGGTGGCTCAGTCGGTTGAGTGTCTGCCTTCAGCTCAGGTCATGATCCCGGGGTGCTGGGATCGAGCCCCATATCAGGCTCCCTGCTCAGTGGGGAGCCTGCTTCTCCCTCTCCCTCTGCTCCTTCCCCTGCTTGTGCTCATTCTCTCTCTCTCTCTCAAATAAATAAAATCTTAAAAAAAAAAAAAAGGAGACCAAGGGATGGGTAAGGCTCGAATATAAATCAATGAGAACATCGTACAATGAGAAGATTGAATGAGTTCCTGCTGACGAACTGTCAAGTGCTGTTCAGGTTGTTTGAGGAGGGCTAGGTAGGTCGGAAAAAAGTGCCAGTAGGACAAGAAATGGGACTTCCACGAGGCCACCAGACCAGGCACATGTGGCCAGGGTTTGGTTGACAGCACACAGCAGAGTACGTGGCCACCCTTCATCCCATCCGAGGTGCCTGAGACACCTCTCCATTTGTGGTTCCTTTTCAATGTACCTCACTAGGATTGGAATAGGAGGGATGTGGCCTGGAGCAGCAGAAAATAAGGTAAGATACGGTTTGTGAAAAGCGTAGAACGTGGAAAGTAAATTGATTTCTGACTGAAAATGTTTAAATAGTTGCAGAGCATCTCATTTTGAATGACGAATGAGATTTCTCTCATCTTGAATGGACAGAAGTTACCTAAACCTTGCTTCAATTTTCTGGAGCTTGCTTGAATAAAGCTCAGTTGGGAATCAAATGACTGTGGGCTGAAAACTTTGTGCCTTTTAATGATATTTGACTTGCAAGAAGTTACCTTCGTATGGAAGGCAGTGGCTTGAGGAAAGTCTACTGTCAGGAACATCAGAAGAACTAACAGACATTGACAGGACAGAAAGCACTATGGGGGTGGGTGGGGGACTGGACTTTCCAATTCATCATCACTACATTTGTTTCAGTGGCTAGAGCTTTTAGCAGTGGCTTGGGTTGTGTTTGGGAGAGGATGTCTAGCACAATTTTGCAAATACTTCCACCCCCTAGGCATCGAGATCCATTCAAGTCGCTAACTCTGGTGAAGTGATTCTTTGTTAAAGAAGAATGGACTCATTCAGGAATAATCCATTGATTTTCCCTTTAATCTTGTCAGGTGGAGGCATAAGATTTGGAGCGGGGGCGGGGGGGGGGGGGGGACACAGATTCTGGATTCCTAGAGTCAAATCAGATCGCCTTCCCCAGCTGCCTCATTCAGTTTCGTTCACCACTAATGCTAGAAGAGCCCCAGCGACAAAAAGCAGTAGGAAATCTTTCTTCTGCATTAATAGGGCAACTGTCACCTTTGTAGACAAACTTTAAAGATTTTAGATCCAAAGATGTTTAAATTCGATTCTGGGTTATGGATAAATCCACTGGCCTTTTTCAAGTTCTTAGATTTTTATAAGGTCTTTTTTTGGGGGGGGGTGTCTTATAATTGACTATAAGAAGGAAATTATATTTCTTCCTTTTCCTGCCAAACCAAGAGTTGGAAGGTTGTTGGCTAATGGCAGGCACTGGCTTTTTGTGGGTCTGTAGCAGATTCTGTGGCATTTCTGACAGAGATAAGTCTTCCTGAGATAAGAAAAACCTGTTAGATCAACAAGTTAAGATAAAGTTTGAGCTGTCCCCTGTTTATCTTGTGACAGAAATGACAAGGGGGGGGGTTGAATTAAATGCAGGACCTTAAAGCAGTGGTTCTCTACCTTGAAGGTGTCTGAGAATCTTCTAGAGATCTTGGATAAAAACCCCCAAGCTCCTGGGAGAGTGGGGGGTAGGGAGTCTGGGGGCAGGGCAGGAGGGGGATGCTGAGGAATATCTTATTTCTCAGCAGCACCGCTCCAGGGTCCCTGGGAAAAGGGGTTGGTCATGTCCATGATATACAGGAAATGTGAGGGCACAGAGAGAGCTTGAGCTGTCATGCCCCAGCTTGTTCACACATGGCCATGTGGTCCTCACACACAGCTCCCTGAGGAGAGAACCAGCCCTGGAGTCTTATGGATGAGGGAGCTGAGGTTCAACATGTCCTAACAGCTAGAAGCTACCAGAACAAGGATTTGAGCCCAGTGCTGGCTGACCCCAGACACCAGGTTCTTATCCCTTCACCACGTCTGGAACCCATGTAGGGTCATGGTTCCCACCAAAACTGAAGTGGAATTTATTCTCTTAGAGTTACTTAATCCCTCATTAAATTCATTAAAATTCCATTTTAACCCTTCTTATAAAAAAAGAAAAAAAGCTCAAGACTATCCATTTTCAAAGGCTAAAGCTTGAATGGATTTATTTTTAAATGCACAGTGCTTTCAGATACTGCAGATTGATTTAAACACACACACACACACACACACACAACACACACACTCATTCAGTTTTTACCTAAACCTGAAGTAAAATTGGGAACATTTTTTCTCCCCACAAATTTAAAACACCCACTTCCCTCTTTTTTCCCCAGACATTTAGGGATATGAACTTACTCCCTTGCCCTCTTTTCACTATAGAATTTCCTTTTTTTTAAAGAAAGAGTTTATTTACCACAGAATTTCTAATACAAATCCTGCCTCTAAATGGACAAAGTCCCTAAAAAGACATTAAGAGATTCAACAACCAGCAGAAGAGCTGTGGTTTGTGCCAGAATGCAGTTGTTTGTCAAACCAATAGGACACTGTTTCTCCCCGGCTTTTTTACGAATGACAAGGAGAGATTTCATGGGATCCTTGCTTATGGGGGACTCAGGTGAAGTGAAGCCCTCTGAGCAGGTGAAGTGGAAATTTGCCCCCCCCTTCTTTTTAACCTGTCTTTTCCACTGAGAAATAGCAGCAACAAGAGGGCTATTAAAGACAAGTGTTTCACTTCCTAAGAAAAGAAATAGCTCAAACAGAAGCTAAATTGGCCAAACGCTTGATAATGTCACAGAAAACTAAAAGTGCAAAACAACCTCGCCCCCCCCCAAAAAACCAGAATAATTTTGCATGTTTACATTTGCCCTAGCTAGACTAATATTCAACCGGCCTTAATAAGGCACTTGATGTCATTAGAGGAGAACATTTCCCTGAAGCAAATTCTCAGAGGACATTAATAAGATATGACTCCGAGTTAGTTCCGTGGGGAAGTCTTATGTTGCTATATATATAAATTGATGTCATTACAGATGAGTTGCCTATTATAACACATGTTTTCTCTGGGAGCCTTTGGGAATTTCACTAATTATCGAATTATGTACTGTTTGCACAGAGCAGAGAAAAAAATTCTATTAGTAAGATCCTTCTGTCATGAAAAACAAAATCAAAAACAAAAACACTCACAAAAAAAAACAAAAAACAAAACACTTGGCCAGGAAATGTTTCCTCTAGAACTAAGCATGATTGAGAAAGTCTGCCAATTTTTCTTTTCTTTTCTTTTTCTGGAGGCAGTTATTTGCTTGCTTATTTATTTATTTATTTGTTTATGTCTTTATTTATTTATTTAATTGTAGGTTCATTCTGAAAAAAAATCTCGTCAATCAGGAAAGGGATGGTGAATAGTGTTTTTGCTTGTTCTTGTTTGCTTTCCTCTGACAATATGGGCTCGCCCCCCTCCCCCATGGAGACTTTCTGATTTTAGTTAGATGCTGACTTTATGTTAATGTGGATTTTACACGAAAGCGGTCTGCGGAGGAATTTTATAAAAATTCCATCCCAAGCAAATTAAATCTCTTCTATGGAGGAAGGAAGAAGGCGGAACGCGCGGTATTCGGTGAAAGCTGCCCATGCAATGCTGAGGTGTGGACAGGGTTTGAGAGCCGTGGGGGCAGACCAAGGCAAAGCTGGGAGTCGGGCCCACCAGCCACAGGCCTCATTTTAGCTCCGCCAGACCAGATGTGTCATTCTTTTTCAAAGATTTATTTATTCATTTGAGAGGGAGAGAGCACGAGCAGACAGAGGGAGAGGGAGAGAGAACCTCCAGCAGACTCGCACTCAGCACAGAGCCTGACGCGGGGCTCGATCCAATGACCCCGAGATCGCAACCTGAGCTGAAACCAAGAAACGGAGGCTTAACGGAAGGTGCCATGCAGGCTCCCCTCAGATGTGTCATTTTTAAGAGGATGATTATCCAGTTCATGAACGACCCACTATGCAACATACTAGAACACACCAGGATAAAGTACTTAAGAAAAATTCAGTGCTAGACAAATATCCTATTACTATCCCTCTGCTCCCGAAAAAAATAATAGCATCTAACCAGTGATGCACAAGTGCTCCACAACCACACACACACATGAAAAGAGAACTAAAAGTTCACACTTGCAACTAAATACCTCCCAACATGCTGGAGGGTTGCAGAAAGGCTTCCCTAAGCATTGCCATTTTAGCCAATGAAAATTCTCCCTGTTTTGAATTGCTCGCGGGAGGACCCTGAGTGACTGGCAGCACCCTAGCAGTGGGCGTATTACACCGCCCCGCCCCGCCCACGTGGAAACTGCATTTCGAGTTTGCTTTACTGAAGTAAAGGGCTAGAGAAGCCATCACTCTTTTTTGAACCCGCCCTGGTACCTGATCCCATATCCTATTGCACTAACCAGACTGCAGTCTCCTTGCATTCTGTTTGTCCTCCGTGGGCAGCCAGTTTTCTCCAGCAATGTTTTGATGAGGCTTCGCGAATGGTTCAGGGGTGGGGGGTTACCAGCAGACAGAGCTCCTAGTACTTCCATCAGGTGGCCGGGGCTCCAGGTGCCGCCGCTAGCCTGGGTGGAGGATCTTTCCGTCTCAGTAGCGGGAACAAGGCCGAGGACAAGGAACAATGGCACCCCCAATACTGGTAGCTTTGTCCAGAAGCTCATTTCCACCCTTCCTTTACCTCCAGTCGGTGTGTGATGGAGTTGGGTGGCTTGCTGTCGGTGTCAACTTGTAATCGGAGGACTTTTAAAGGGGAAAAGGAAAGGCTTTAATTATTGCGCCAGCACCGTCTTTGAAAGGATTCATTAATGGGGTGGCTAAGCTGATTTGCAATGGCAAGCGGGTTCTGAACAGCGGGGCGTCTGTAGGTCATTTATAACCACAAACAGCGGGCAACTCTCAGCGCTCTGGACACTGCAAACTGCAGAACAGCCAAGAAGTTTGTGGGATTGTGCTCAGGGCTGTGGACTTTGCAAACTGTAGAACAGCCAAGAAGTTTGTGGGGTTGCCTCTCTCTAAACTCACCAGAGGAGCAGAATTAGGAAGAAGAAGTTTCTCTGTTCACCCTGCAAGGTGGTACCAGTCTAGGACCCAGGCAGGAAATACTCTCTCTTTATCCCATCCTAAAGTAGAACTCCCAGGGCTGGGTGGTCCTCATCGCTCAAGTAAGTAGATGAAAATAAACAGAAAATACATTTCAATAAATTACCCATATCACATGGAATGAGACGGTTTGGTTAAGGAAGGGCACTAGAAGAAAACAGTCATGCCCAGAGAACACTGGTCATTTTTTAGTTTTTTGTTTATTACCAGGACGAACTATCAGAAAAGCCCGAGGGTTAGGGCGCCTGGGTGGCTCAGATGGTTAAGCGTCTGCCTTCAGCTCAGGTCATGATCCCAGGGTCCTGGGATCGAGTCCCACATCGGGCTCCCTGCTCCTTGGGAGCCTGCTTCTCCCTCTGCTTCTCTCTCTCTCTCTCCCTCTGTCTCTCATGAATAAATAAATAAAAAAAAAAAAGAAAAAAAGAAAAGCCCGAGGGTTTCAAGATCACAAGAGCCATGATAAATCCACATACTCAATGGTCACTGAAGGCATGAAGGACAACTTGAGAGCCAATCAACTTTCTGCAAAAAAATTAATCTCTTCAACCGATTGCTCAAGGAATGCAAAATGTTAACAGCATCTCATGTCACATCTTGGCCCAGAGATGAGCTAATGATGACTGTGGGGGTAGTAACAGAGATATTGGGATTACTTTTACAGTTAAGAAAAGAGAGAGAGAGAGTTTAAGATTCTTATGTTAGCATTTGGAAAATGACAGAAGATGAGACAAACATTTCTAAACGCGGTGCTTACCGTTAGAAGAAAGATAAATGATTATTTATCTGGAGCTCCGTGGCCTTTTAAATCTCAGAGAGTATTTTGTGGTTACAAAGTCCTCTGTTTTTAAAATTCCTTGACTGTGCCCTGGAAGCTGGAGAGGATTATTTCAACCCAGAGAAGTTTTCAGTTGCTATGGAGAGAGCTGCTCTGGGGGTAACAACGAGATCTTTCTGTCTGGCAGGTTTTCAGGAAAATCAAATAAAAGTGGCTAATGAACCTGACTTTTTATATCAATATTTACCAATGCTCTTAAAAGTCTGAGAAAATCTTAGAATTTCTTATAGTCACTTGCCTTTTAAGGGACAGATCTAGGTCAAAGGATTTCACCTTGCAGAATGGAAAGGCTTTAGAGTTAGATCAAGATTTTTTTTTTCCTTTCCAGTTGATTCTGTAACTGTTTTCGCCATGCTCAAGCCAAAGTTTTGTTGAGAAGATAAGCTCTTTAAAGCCTTAATTATATAAGGTGCAGAGGTTTAAAAGACTTAAGGCATTTGAAAATCTGTAAAAAGAGGTCTTCAAACAAGAAGAAAAGTATTTTGTTGGAGGCATAAAGTTCTTACCTGGGAAGGAAGTGAATGGAAGTGGGGAACTTGAATTAGCAAATATATTCTGATCCCAGAGTCTGCGGTAGAAGCGATTATGTAAGGCCCGCAAGGCCCTGTGAAACCCCAACACATTATTAGGGAAACAATGACTGAGAGAACAAAGTGCTAAATTGTGGAGGAGGTAAGAGAAGTTCAAACACACGATTTCAAAATGGACAGAGTGCGTGTACATGGCACATGGTACGTGAAAGACAAAGTGATGCTGAAGGATGCAGGGAAGGGACCGGGTTCTGAGTTCAATTCCCGGATTGGGGTGAGGGGGTGTGGAGGGAGTGGGGCTTGGCGTGGGGGGCGGAGGAAATGAAAAGAGAAAGCGGTTGGGAGAATCCGTCTTCTCTGTCATTAACAATGTGAAAACTGGGAGCAACAGTGGGAGACAACCTAAGAGAATGCTGTAACACTCATAGGAACAGGGGAGGCAAAAGCTCCCAGAAATGCCCAGCTTCTCTTCAATGACACATCACAGCACGTGGATTCACCTAAACTGACAAGGGAAGGGACCTGGCATGTTTATCCTGAGCTCTCTGGTGAGCTGAGCGGAGTCAGTGCTCAGAATCATTAGTCCAGGGGCGCCTAGGGGGCTCAATCGTTGGGCGTCTGCCTTCGGCTCAGGTCATGATCCCAGGGTCCTGGGATTGAGCCCCACATCGGGCTCCTTGCTCAGCAGGGAGCCTGCTTCTCCCTCTGCCTGCCACTCCCCCTGCTTGTGCTCTCTCTCTCTTTCTGATAAATCAATAAAATCTTTAAAAAAAAAAATCATTAGTCCAGCAGAGAGAGGAGTGAGGAGCAGGTCAGGGCTCCCCTGCTAGGGCCCCAAATCAGGTCAGAGAAGGGAGTGGGCTGGGGCAGAGGAGCATGGAGAAAGCTCTCTGCAGCTCAGGCTCATCGCCTGTGACCACTCCCCCACCCCCGGGGGGACCACCTCTGCCTTATCTGTCTCAGGAATCGGTTGGGAGGTGTCTAAAGCAAAGTTGTCCAAAACCTACTGAGCATATTACCCAGTGCTCCTGTCATGTGGTACATTTCAGTACCTCCGCTTGACTTTGTTTCTGGAATTAAGCCCTGGCTTCCCGGCCCTGCCCTAATTGGCAGGTTCTGAAATCTGTCCTCCCTAACCAAGTCTTTACTGCATGACCTGTGGGGTGCAGCAGGGCCGGATCTTGATTTACTCTAACCTGGGGCCCCAGGACAGTGGCCCTTCTGAGACTCTGGGAACTTTTCCCGATTCCTCTGTGCCGATGTCCACCCCGGAAGGCCTGTTTTCTAGTCTCCGGCTCCGCATGGCTACAGATTCCCTCCTAATAGGGCCCGAGGCCATTACCTCCTGCAGGAACTCTCAGCTGCTCCCACCACCTGCCCCAGCCTACGCACAGCCGCACGACACCCCCCAAACCTGTGAACTGTCTACCAATGTCACATGGCAGAGCCTGCTCTGTTTGCCCCCAGGGCTTGCTGCACCCCACAGTCAGCCACCAGCCACGGTCCTGTCCCTGTCCCTGGTGAGGTGGCCTTCAGGTGGGGCAGGCAGAAGCCCAGGATGTAGGGTCCAAGTCCGGCCAAGCCATAGAGGGCCGGCAGGAAAAAAGTAGGAGTCATAAGGGAACAGAACACTTAGCAGAACCTGGTGGCGTCACTTTCTGGGCCTGACTCTGGGTTGTAACTTTAACTGCTGGTGCGCAGCCTGCCTGAAACCAGCCTTTCTTAAACATGCTTGTATCTGCAAACCAAACCAACCTCTAGGGGTAATGAGTTTCAGATGTTAGCTAGCCCCCTGCACGAAGAAGGAGCTAATTTACTCCTGATTGATAGTTACAAGGCATTTAGCCCCATTTGGGACCACGCTCATCTGATGCAGTATGTCTTAATATACAGACACTTCGTGCTCTCACGGGAAGGCGTAGCGGACGAGAGGTGAGAGAGAAGGTGGGACCGACCAGTCTTTCCTTCAGTTCCGATTCTTTGTCTTTTGGTATGGCCTGTGTTTCAAACTTCTACAGGTCTTATAATGTCTTTATATGTGTACCCTGCCTTGAGCTAGAAAGAATTTAAAGGGGCCCACCAGGAAAGCTAAAATAAATGGCAGCAACGTCAAAGACTGAAACCAGGATAGAGCCATCTGGTGGGTCCAGTTCAGGGCTGCCCTGTATAGTTCTGCATATTCGGCATTGTACAACTTTAGGGATCATCATTCACTTCCATAGTTATCATGGATTTCTATATTTATTTCACCAATTTTCCAGGAAATTTCCTGAGGAAAGGAGGCTTTGTCTTTGGTGGAGGGATGTATGTGCGCTTCTTCAGCATCCAGCCTACCCGCTGTGGGGCCAGCTCTGGCAGGAATAGGAGGTCCTACCGTTCTGAGCTGCCTCTGGCCCCAGTTTCTCCCCATGTGCCCCTTTACATGGTCTTCTTCCCTCTTTTCCAAGACACTAACCTCTCTAAATAATAATAATAATAAATGTTCATTAACACTTTTTGAGTGTCTTCTATGCCTAGGCACTATGCTAAGCAACTTCATGTATATTTTCTCCTGTTATATCAATAGAACCTAATGAACTTCTCACTGTCCATTTCAGAAATACCCAGTGTCACACAGCTGGTAGGTATCACCAGAAATCCAGGCCTATCCATATCGAAGTTGGTGCTATGAGTTCCCTTGGTTTTATTTGTAAGTGCAAACTTTTTTACAGCACAGCATGGGGTGGGTGGGATGCACAAATGAATCAGGTGAGAGCCCATCAACAAGGAAATAATCTGCTACGTTCTGATTTTTCGATTCTTCCCCAAAACCTTTCAGTCCAAAAACTCTCAGAGGCAGAAAGAATGTAAGCAGAACCTTGGGCTCTACTCCTGTGTAATACTTAACAGGACTACCTACCAGGCATTTGAAACAAATGCTATGTGTTCTCTAAACGATTTATCAGAGGAAAAGCAGAATATTCCGCTGAGATGGCAGTCCCTAAGGGGTAGGGACTATCTTGCACATCTTCTGATTCTGTGACATTACCAACATCACTGTATTAATAACAATTAGAACATGTTGGGGTGCCTGGGTGGCTCAGTCGTTAAGCGTCTGCCTTCGGCTCAGGTCATGATCCCGGGGTCCTGGGATGGAGCCCCGCATCGGGCTCGCTGCTCAGCGGGAAGCCTGCTTCTCCCTCTCCCACTCCCCCTG